CCTCTGACACAAAATATAATGGAAATAAATATTCCAAACAATAGGATCCAAAAGTGTTCCCAACTTCTTCAGCTACCTGTCTCTGACTCATCAAATGATGCAGCTAAACATTTTACATGCATTGAGGCTTTCACGTAGTGACTTACAGTGCCATTCTCATGAACAAAAGCTAATTTGGAAAACAGTCACCATTCCCTGTAATATAAAAGAGCAATAGATTGAGAATTTAAAACAGGAAGGTGTATTAATCTAGAAGGAGCAGTGGAAGAAAAATGGAAATTAATGGCACAGTACTGAAACAGCCTTTCAAAATGTAAAGCAATAAAGCCATGTTGGGCAGCCAAGCAAAGAAGCAAAAATTGACACTTTCTGCCCCCTGCAGTTTATACTGACATTTGGATTTTTAAGATACAGAGACTGAGAGAAAAAAAGGAGACTGAATTCCAAAAAATCAAATGACACAATCATTTCAGTTTTTCGATGGGTAACCCATAATGAAAGACTTCCCAAGTCTGTGTTTCTTTGATAACTAATGGTCAACTAACTATTTTATTCTAGCAAGCCTTTGTTTTTCTGCTTTCTGTTTCTGCATACCAATTAGGCTGAAGAGGAGGAGATCCTTCTGACAAAGAATGATCTCCAAAAGTTTCCTACACAAATCCCAACAGCAATATTCTACAAAAAAGCAACAATAACTATTAAGATGCTAGAGTGGAAAATGTTTCTTCTTCAAAGCAATGTGTGTTTTTACACCCCCCTCTCTCCCTAAAATTATGGGAGTCAATAATGCATGCCGTCTTGCTTGACATATGAACAGCAAAAATTATTTGGTTCAAGGGCCTAGGTTTACTTATAAATATTATGATTAACATGAATATTATTATTAATCCATAATCAGAGCCAGAAAACCCTAAGAATCCATGCTTATTTCACTTCTCTAAACAGTCGAAGTACTTTCAAAATGAGCATTGTAAACCAAAATAAGACAGTTAAACTTTCTTTTGAACTACCACGAAAGATACAAGGGCTGTTAGTTCTCAATCAATTGAATTATCTGGATGTACTCATGCAGTAGAATGAGGTGGAAAGGCAATGGCAGAGCCTGAGGTAACAGAAAGGCTATAAGCACTTCAGACTGCAGGCAGGGAGCTGCATCTATGAATCGCTTCTGTAAGAAAAGAACTAGCATACAGTAAGAGGAAATGTGTACTAAAACCTTACACACTGCTCTTATTTTCTACCTTCAAAAAATGCTACCTCACACCTGCAATCTGAAGTGGTAGAGTCCACTTTCCCACCCCATTCTGATCCAGTCACAGTAATTTGCAGACAAGTTTTAGGGCCTATGCAGGTGCATAAATGCGGCACAATGCTAAGATCCATGCACACCACCAAACAGAACACACACAGCCATGGGGGCTCACATTTAGGTACTTCTTGCACATCAAAACCAACAGGAACACCTGCTTGGAAATTATCAGATGGACAACCACCACATAATCCTCCTATGCCTTTTCACTGTCTTCCCAAAGGACTTTACACATAAACTATCTGACATCAGGTTTTTTTGCAGATAAATTGCTACGTTCTGTTTACATTTTTAACCAATCCAGAATCTGAAATTTATTCAGTTGTGGCACCTAAAATTTGATGCTGGCTCCTAAAAAAGGCCTTCATCATTACTAATGCTATAAAATATTTGTTTCCGCTTTTAGTGTTTTGTACTATGGATTTACTGAGTGTGTTGGCTCTCAGTTCCCAAGCCTTACTTTCATCAAGGTCTACATGTGCAACTGTGGGTAAGGCCCATACTGGACAGAAAATTATTTGATGAAGATGACTAGGGAAGAAAACCAGGGAAAATCATTTATCAGTAAGAAAATATATAATGAGGACTGAGCTACATACAGAATCAAACCAGCAGGAAAAGCAAACCTAAATAACCGCTTATTCTTCAGAGTATTTTTAGTATGATTTCTCTATACTTCCTATAGAATAGAATAAATGCATTTAAGGCACTTCCCTTTCCTCTGCACATATTGCTAATTTAATTATCTTTCCCACTTTGCTCTCCTAATATAATCAGTGGATGCTCCATAGGTTTTTTTTAACCTACTCCACACATATGGATTGTGTGCAGAACCATTTCCACCTATTGTGCTCCTGGAAACACTATTTGCTTCCTCTGCCTGTCTGGAAATGCTGGGTGCACTTGCAGCTTCTACCTCCATAACTAACTAGCCCAAACTGCAGGATGACCTCTCCCACCCATCTACCTTCTCCCCCACACCCTTTTCCTTTCACTGCCCGTGCGCCCACCTTTCTTCCTTCCCAATCACACTAACTCAACTCAGTACAGCCACTCTCTGGGGTGAGGGGCGGTGAGAGATGTGAAATAAAGACACCCATTTCCCTCTTTTTCAGCTTTCCTTCTCTCCAAAGATGCAAACAGCACTATCACATTCCCTGTGCCCAGCACAGCCCTTGATAGGAAGGGAACCCGCGTCAAATTCATGGGCAGCACCTCGCCTAAAGTGCAGAAAAGCAGGCCTGACATGCTCTTTAGCCCTGGGAGTTCTCAAATCTCCTTCCCTCCCCTATGCACTCTCTGCAGTTGCCTGATTCCGGGAAACCCTCGCTCCCTCCAACACCTACAGCAGCAGCAAGACGAGGGAGAGGATGCTCCCCCTCCTCTCAGATCCCCCAAATTGTGGGGTCTGGAAACTCATCCACCTTTACTCTCCCCCTCCACCTAGACTCACGCCCAGCAGACCGCCAAGAGCAGCAGTCTATGGGACGCAGAAGAGATTTAAACATCGATGCGAGCAGACTAGTTCCCTGCTCCCATGGGGCAGCACTGCATGCATATTTTGGGGTGGGGAAAAGAGAAGAAAAGAGAGCGAGCGCGAGAGGGAAAGGGGAAGAATCCCGCCCCCCAGCGGGGAAGCATTGCAACCAGGAATAGGAGGCGGCGAAAGGGAGGAAGGGGGACCGAAGAGTGCGCCTGTCCGGGTCGGTCCGTCCCGAGCCAGCCAGCCTGGCGGCCGGGCGGGCGGGTGCCATGCCTATAATTACACACCGCGATCATCTCTTCCTCCTCCATCATTACCTTGCGCTTCCTGGTCTCGGCCGACCCGCTCCACACGAAGCACTGGTAGATCACCCGCAGGTTCTGCTTCCAGTTCTCCACCTTGAAGCCGGTCACATGGCAGCACCCGGCGGCCGGCGGACTCATGTCAGACCCCCCCACATCAATCCGCCCGCCCCGCCGGCACGGCTTCTTCGGAGCTTCGGGGCAGGAGGCGGCCGCGGCGGCGCGGGGGGGCGGCGGGGGGGCGGCGCGGGGGAGGAAGCCCGCGGCGGCGGCGGCGGCGGAGCCGATGGCAGCGCTGCGTGAAGGCGAAGGGGACGGGACAGGCGGGACGGAGGGTGGGGGGAGGGAGCCCCTCCCTCGCCGCTTGGGGAGGAGGAAGAGGAGGAGGAGGAGGATCCTCCCTCTCCCCCTCTCCCTCTCGCTCGCTCGCTCGCTCGCCCTCCCTCGCTCGGTCCGTCGGGCTCCCGCCCGCGCTCTCCGCTTCCTCGCCGAGGGGGGCGACTGCGGGCCGCCACCCCCCTCAGGGCTGCGCGGCCTCCGCCGCCCCCGCCGACTGCAGTGGTGCGAGGTGGGTGGCTGGCTGGCTGGCTGGGTGGGGGAGCGCGGCGCGTGAGGCGGGTGGGGGAGGGGAGCGGCGCGGCTCTTCTCCTTCCTCCTCCTCCTCCTCCGCGGCTTCTTCCTCCCTCTTTACTCTTCTCTCCTCCTCTCCGCCCTCCCCTCCTCCTCCTCCTCGCCGCCGCCGCCGCCGCCGCTTCAACCCCGCCCCGCCCCCGGCTGCTCCGAACAAAGCGCCGACGACGCCTCTGAGGAGGCAAAGCGCCACAAAGATGAGGAGCGAGAGACGCGGTCTGAGGAGAATCTTCGCCGCCGCCGCCGCGCGCTACCTCATGGAGGCCTCCGGGGAGGCGGCGGCGGAGGGGAGGCGATACAGGGAGAGGGGAAGCCCTGGCGGCGGCGCGGGTGTCGCTGTGGGCGGGGGGGGCGGGCGGGAGGGGTGTGTTCTTCGCCTTCGCTTTCCTCTCTCAAGTCAGCCCAAGCGAAGAGCTCGCCCGGGTGCCTGTCTCTTTAAATCGTTCTCTCGCTTCCCTCCCCCCCCCCCCGCCAAACCACCCCCTCAATGTTTAATGATCCCCTCCGAGAGAGAGCGAGCTAGCGAGAGCGCGAGCGCGGCGAACTCAACCTAAGCCCCGCCGGGCCCGAAGCGGGATAAACCAATTGGGAAAGGAGCGAGGGGGGAGGCAAAGGGAGGTGGGGGGAGGCAAAGGGGGGAATCTTCGCCCACGAACCCGCAAGGAGGCCCGACGGCTGCGCTCCTATTGGTGACTGCTAGTGCAAGTGTCGTCCCTCCGATGTTTCTCATTGGCCGGTGCCGCCTTCCCTTAGAGCGGGAGGAGGAGAGAGAGAAAGAGAAAGGCAGATTCGCTCGCCTCGCTCCCTCCCCGGTGCCCGTTGATTGACAAAGGAAGTTAAGGAGACACCAGAAAAGGGAGGGGGCACGTGTTGCAGCGGGAACGCGGTGATTGGCAGAGCCGCTTGCCGCTCTTGCATCACCGGGTTCGAATGCCGTGTCGGATTGGCCAAGAAAAGGCTGTCAGGGTAAGTACCGCCTTCGTTAGCACTGGCGAGCAGGAAACGTGGGGGGGGCGGGGAAACAGGGAAGCGCAATGCGAGCGCTGTCACATCCGCCCAGCGTCGCAGCTTCTCTGTTACCCCAGTGATTTCTCGTGGGGAGGGGAGGGCGCGGAGCGGCGCGGAGCGGCGGGACTGGTCAATTAGCCCTCAGCAATGGCAGCTCTGCCCCTCCGGCCCAGGCCCGGCCCCTCGCGGCCGAGCCGCAGGCCCGCCGCCCGCCCCTGGGGCTCGGATGCAGCAGCAGCCGCCGCCCCGTGGAGCGAGCCCGGTTGGGCAATCTGCAGGCGCTTCCCCTGGCTGACCTTGCTGCGCCGCTGCCTCCTCCCGGGCGGCTCTCCACGTGCTGCCGATCTGCTTTCGCCGCCGGTCTTCTCTGCGCACCGGCGTCGTGGGACCGCAGCAACGGCCCCGCCGCTATTGACACGATTCGCCTGCGGCGGTGCAGCAAGACCCGCGGCTTCTGGAATACATGGGGACGGCCAGGTGCCGTGACGCGCAAAACCGTCCTTTCTCCCGACCCCGTTGGGCAAGGAACTCGCCTAAACCCTGTCCCCTCATGACTACAGGAATAAAACTGTATCAGCTGCCTGGCACCGTCCTGCGGCACCGTCCTGCGAGTGTTGTGGCCGTCCTACAACTGCTGGCATTCCCCAGCTTTGGTTACTAGGGTGGTCTAGCAATCAAAGTTATTCGGGAGTGAGCAGCATTTTCTTGCAGAAAAGGAAAATAGTAAACGTAGTAAAATCGGCATCTATCACCATACAGTTGCCCAGTCAGCTGCCTGCTGTCTCTGAGATGTGGTACACTTAAGAAAAGATGATGCACCAAGCGGCCTCAGCATTGGTGGTGCCTGAGGTGCTGATGCTGAGCCTGACGGCCTCTCCCCACAGCACCTTCCACTCTCTGGGTGGGAATTTAATTTGGCAAACTGGGACAAGAGAACATACATAAAAGGATCGTTTCCCTTCCCTTGTGTTCTATAGCTGGCTTCCCCAACCTGGTGCCCTTCTAATGCATGGAAATGCAACCCCCATCATCCCCAACCAGCCCGGCCATTGGCAGGCTTCCTGGGAGTTGTAGCCCCATTCATCAAGGGGGCATCAAGTGGGGAGACTGATGTATAGAGGGTGCTCCAGGTTAAACCACTGAGCTATGTACCCGTTCACTGTCTACTCTTAAGATCACCTGATTCCAAAGATTAGATCAGTGGTTTCTGGGCTGCAGAGCAAGCTTCCTGGCGCATCTTGCCAATATGGCAATTCCTTCTGCTGAAGAGCAGCCCAGGCACCTGAACTTGCTTCAAGCTCTGTGCTGTCTGGACAACAGTGAACAAGGGGCTTGCAAAGCAGGCCCTATTAAATACTCTGGGGAAGGCTATTAATCAGCAATAAATTCTATTACCTGCTGTCCCAAACTAGGTAATTCCAATGTCCCCAAATGAGGCAGACAGCAATGTATTAGATGTACATTCATTTATACCAGCAAGAAATCAGAACAAAAGAGATACCATGTCTGTTCATTAGGTAGTTGGACAATGACTGAATCCATTTTTCTCTGAACACATAATCACCATTTCCTTCCCCCAGCTCTACATGTGTGTCTTGACTGGAAAACTTTAACAGAGAAATTAAACTGGCAAAGCTGTCAAAAAAAGCTTAATGTATCAAATATCTGCATGCCAGGTAGTTATCAAATGCAGAACAGTGAGACCATTTTAAAAAAAACCCACTGGTGACTTGCTTGATTCCTTTGACACAGCTACAGCTATTCAGCGGGACCTAGACAGCCATTCCTGGGAAAAGGAGGTTTTGCCCCAGGAGTAGATGAATAACCACCTGTTTACTAAAACACGTGTTTATTAAGGAGAAGGTAAGTTCAATACTAACCAGTTTGGAGCTACTGGGGCAAGGCTACCTTGTCCTATATTAGTAGCTGCTCAGGCTCCACTGAATTCCGTGGAAATTTAGAGCAGATAGCCAGTGGCTTCCACTTTAATGTACTTCCTGGGAGGAAAACAGAGGTGTTGCACCATGTAGTTGAACCTTGAGAATTTCTGCTTTTATACCCTATGCATTCAAGGCAACATAATGGAACAGCTAAACGGCAGTCAAAGCCAAGTGAGAAGAGAAAATGGAGACACTTTTTTTTTTTTTGGCTATGCCATAAAGGTCAAATCAGTTTACTTCCACTTTATATAGGAGTTTACAAGTTTGTACTTGTTTAGACATCTAGCCTCAGAAGGTTCCCAATATAGTAGAAGGTCTCAAAGGAACCAACCTAGGGAGACTGCAAAATCTACAAAAGGTACTTTGGAAAGACATCCTGGATTGACTGAAGAATTGGAATTATCCATTAGGAAGCAACAAGCTGTGTTGGTTTTACTACACTTTTATTATATAAATAAAGATATATAATAAATGTTCTGAACAAACATGACATTCAGAAAGAAAAAAACTGCAAGCATCATTCTCTTAACATTCTCAAATATCCCTGAAAACACCTCTCTAATGTTAGATTGGGGGGGAACAATCATCCATTACACAACACCAAATGCAGTAGGCTCTTTTGTGATGAAAGGGGACAAATGAAATGAGAGGGGACAAATTTGCAGGGCAGAACTGCTAGCAGGAGGAGTCATCCTTGGAATTTATTAACACTGCCCCCTATTTTTCACATCAACAGGCATCAGAATCAGAAGCAAGCCTTGCTGAAGCAAAAGTATGGAGAGAAATAGCCCATATGGAAGTGCTACAGGAGAGAAATGGCAGGAGGATGGTTGGGCACTTCCTGCCTGCCAACCATCCCCTGAAAGTCCAAGGTGGGATTAGAAGGGTGTCTTCCTGATCCAAGAAGGCCTTGCTACAGGCACCATGAACAATTCTCCCCCTGCCACCTCAATATCCAAACTCAGAGGGGTCATCCCATGGGATGCCCACAGCTCAATGACAGAATACCTGCTTGGCATGGCTGAAGGTTAAGGCTGAGAAAATTCTTGTCTGAAGCTTTAGAGAGCTGTTGCTGCCAGTCGGTGTCAACAATACTGGCTAGATGGTCCAATGTCCTGACTCAGTATAAGGCTGGTTCCTGTGTTTCTATGAAGTTGAATGGCGGGAGATTCTGGACAGTATACAGAATGCAGTGGCTACCAGTCAAAGTCCTCCACCCACATTACACGGGTCCGCAGCATCCCTGCGCTGAAGCAGCAGCTGAGCTGCTCTGCAGGTGTAGCTAGTCCCCACGGCCACCGCCCTCCATGCACTGAGGGTGGTCGGCTGCAAGGGGACCCCTGGCATGCAAGCTGCTTCACAAAGTGAGGGGCTCCGTGCAATCTGGAGGGCCAGCTGGATGCCTACACAGGTTCCTCTGGAGACAATAATGTTCAACACGTGATAGTTGGAGGGGGGTGCTGCCCTATTATGTGATGTCTTAGACCAGCCTTCCCTAACCTGATGGCTTTCAGAGGCATTTGGACCATAACTCCCAGAATTCCCATCCAGCAGGGCCATGGACTGGGAATTCTGGGTGTCGCAGGCCAACAGGTCCAGGAGCCACAAAGGTTGGGCAAGCTTGCTTTAGATTGTTTTAAAAGGGGATTTGGCAAAGTCCTTAAGAATAAAACTTCTAGATCTAGGATCCAAGGGAGCGTGTCTCTGAGTCCCAGTTGCTGGGAAATAACAGGGGAGACTCAGGTACACTTTTACAGAGGACAGTCCTCCGAAAAGCTGCCCTGCTCAATTCCAGTCTGAAAATAAAAATGAGGACCTGTTGCCTATCCACCATTAGCAGCCAGCCAGCAGGCCACATAAGTTTTCTATTTTAAATGTAAACTGAGAAATTAGTCTTAATTTATATTTTAAATAATCATTTCTAAATTTCTGTCTGTACATGTACATTAACACTTGAAGTTTTTCATGCACATATTTGTAAATTATGCGTGCAATGTCCTTATGGAACACTGTCTTTTGTCAACTTTTATTTTTGACAATTCATCTATGTCCTGCTAATGGGCTTCCCACAGACATCTAGTCAGTCATTGTGGAAAGGAGGATGCTGGCCGAATGGGCCTCTTCTCCCACCTTGCAAGGCTCTGCCTCTGTTCAAGAGAACATGGAGTCAGCAGCAGAAAGCGGTCACTCGCAGGAGGCATTTGGCCAGCCCTTCAGTCACAGGCTTTGGCAGACAATGTAAGCCTTCCGGAAACACAGTGGCAGTGGCTAAGACAGAGGCGGGACAGGCCTAGGGGGTCAGGAGTCATTCAGGCTCCCCCACCTTTGCACAGCTCCAGCAGGAGACTCAAACCAGACTGTAGCTACGGAGCCAGACCTTAAGGCATCACTGCATCACTTTACAGCCTTTTCAATATACATCTTAACCACCTTCTTAATTTGACCTTATGGCCGAATTTCTAGTTAGGATGGCCTGAGATGTTTTGACATCAGAGAAAGATAATCCAGCTGCCCCTCTGCCCTTAGCACTGTAAAATACATAAAAACAGCTGAATTCCCCCCTCTGCACACGCCCATCCTGACCTTCGTTCATTTACACATTGGAGGTGACTATACTATCTCCTACAATAAAAGCTGAATGCTGTCTGGGAAGCAGCACAAGCACATCCTTCCAGAGCGGCAGTCTTAAACCTCTCCCCAAGTTGGCCAGAGCAACACGCACAGAAAAGCATCCATGGGCCGCAACGTACCAGGCCAGGAAGCAGTCGCAAGGAAAGAAGGGAGTGATTTTCATAAAGCCACACAGAGAAGAAAGCATTCCAAACAGATGCTTAAGTGGTGAACTAAGGACTGGGGTTCCCAGGCTGAGCCGCCTCCGGCTATCATGTTACACACCTGCGCAAAATGAATTCCCCCTTTCCCATCTCTGCAGGGAGGCGATGTGTGCATGCACACCGTCTCCAGTAATCTGATGAGCCTTAATTCCCAGCATTTAAATCATTAGCTTTCAGGGTTTCCCTGATTAATGAAGGGAGCCGGGGCTTCACTGAACGAACCCATTAAGGACTTGCTAATGCATGGTTTGATTTCACTGCCTGCAACTGAGCACACGGTTCCTCGTCCTTCAGGGACCACAGCGATTCATGCAGGGCTCAAGAGGGAACGCCAGACATCCAGGCCTTCAGAAAGGCGGTTTCAATTTAGCCTCCCAAATGCTCCGGCTGTCGCTATTAATCAGGAACGATGCTGATGATGTGATACCAGTTTCTGACTTGCTCTCTCTATTGCACCTTTTGGGGAAATTTTGGTGATGGCTTTTTTTAAAGGTATCTCAGATCCTGCCTTCATATAACCTCTTATCCTATCCAGGTAGCAAATGTCCTCCAATGTCTTGCAGACGAGTAAGTACAGCCGGATCTATTATGTGATTAGCAGTGCACTGTCCACTCAGAAGTAGAGTTCAGCGTGGTGAACATGTAAAGGATTGCAGCCTACACATTCTATCAAACTAGGCATTCAGTCCAACCTACCAGGGATCTCAGTCCAGTCCCCTGCCCTTCTTCATCGTCGCCCTGCCCCAAGAATATCGTAGCTCAGATGCATCCACCGCTTCTCAGCCTTTTGGCTACAATCAAGTGTAGTGCGTTCCGCATGAAGCCACACTAAAAATCAAACACACAAGTGGCAGGACTGATGGAAAGTTATTTAAGCAGCAAGCCAGATACACAGACAGCAGCTCCAAGAGTATCCAGTTCTATCCATGTCTACTCAGAAGTAATTCCCAATGAGTTCAATGGCCCTTCCTCCCAGTTATGCAGTTATAAGTATCGCAAGTCCTACTTGCAACATTCCCAGGCCTTCCAAAGCAAAGTGCTATTTTTAAAAATAAATTTGGGAGCAATTACATTCAGTGGAACTGGGAAGGTACCCTACTCCTGGCAGATTGTTTATTCCATTTTAATTTATCCTTCCTCAGGCAGCATAAATGTTTCTTCCTCCATTCATCTGTCCCTGTAAGGACTGAAAGCCAGCTTGGTGTAGTGGTTAAGAGTGCGGGACTAGAACCCGGGGTGACTTTGGGCCAGTCACAGAATCTCAGCCCATCTGGCTTCACAAGGTTGTTCTCTTGTGGGCTAAGGCTGAGAGCAAGAGGAGGAGAATGATGTTCACTGCTTTGAGTTCTTCAAAAAGAAAAAAGGCAGGATGTAAATCTAATACATCATCATCATCATTACTAAGGAATGTTACAGCAGCAGAGGCTGGGTTCCAACATAATCCACACTCAAGGGTGGAGTATGGGTTATCCTTAAGATGTGGTTTATTATGTTGTCTGAACCCAGCTGTATTCACAAGCCATGCCTTGTTAACCAGAAAAAAATCATGACGAGAACCATGGTTTGTTGCTGAGTCGGGAATGGTTCACTCTGGTTTGTTCTCCCATCTGTGTTCAGATAACAACCCACATTTCAACAACCCGTGGTTCAGCAACAACCCAAGCTCAGCCTCTGAGTGTGGGTTATTGTGTTGTCTGAACCCAGTGACCAAGTCTAGTTAGCTGAGTGCCTGAATAGTGGGTTCAAACCTGGATTTAAACCTGCGTTTCTTTGGCCTAAGTCTGTGTCTCACGTGTTGCCCAGCCTTCTTTAGTTCAGTGCCCTCCAGGTGTGCCTGATCACAACTCACCCCTCCAGTCAGCGTGACCTCAATGCCATTCTGGGCCAGCCAAAGGACCTTTTATTCTCCAAAGCTTTTGAAAACACAACAGCCTTTTCAGCAATCGTGGTAGCTCTGTGCTGCAGCTGAATTTGCCATTTATCTCCCAGTTAATCTATTTTAGAGCTGTTTGTGCTATGCATATCAAAGTTGAAGGGAAGCACCTCCCTGCAAGAACACAGCAGTGCCCACGTTGCAGGACAAAAGTTTGTTAAGTCAACAGGGATGGCGATTGCAGGGAAAGAGTTTGCTCAGACAAACACCAGCTGGGACACGTTCTTCAGAATTCCCATGCAAGCGTTTGTCCTCCATTGCTGGCTGGGGAATTCTGGCCATTGTCATCCAACACGTCTGGAAGCAACGGGCTGGAAAAGGCCGCTGTGTAACGGCTTTAGTCTTGCTATGCCCTTCCTAACACAAGTAGCTTTTCTTTTTTCAGAGGGTAATCGCATCAGTTTTGTAGCAGAAACACCAAAGAGTTCTGGGATACTTTAAAGATCAACCAACTGATGTCAGCGTTAATGGTTTGTCTTTTAGATGCCGTAAGACTCTTCGTTGGTTTTGCTTTTCTTTCTTGGCAACCTGATGTTCATTTTCTCTTTTTCTAATTCCCTTCATTTCATCCCTTGCCATGTGCCCAGACAGAGGAGCAAAATTCACGTTGGAGCCTTGTTTGCTAAGTATATGCTTTCAAATCAGGGAATGGCAGATGGCAGTTTGTTCCTACACCTTACCTGGTGGAAGGCATCACGAAAATCAATGTTCGGCTTGCCTTGCAAAGGGGAGGGAGACTGCAGGATAGGAAGGCACAGTGACCTTGAGCAGGCACTTGTCTCCTGAATTTAAAAGCAGACACAAAAAAGCTTCGGCGTCTTTTTATTATTTAAAAATCACCAAGAAAAGCAAGAGGCAAGGGTTGCCTCACTGCATCTTTAGCTTCCATTAAAGATCCTCTGCCATCAGGGTCTGGGGGGAAGGGTTTTCAGCTTTGAAGCTGCTTCTTTGCGGGAACAGAAAACATGGAAAGAATTCAATTCCACACCGCAGCAAAACAGCACTGCTACATGCTTTGAAAACCAGAGCTTTAAAAAGCAAGCTGGCGGGCGGGTGTGGGTGGGTTGCTAACTCACGACAGCATCCAGTTATACCTGTCCTCTCTCCAGCATCAATTAGTATCCCCCCCCCCCCCCCCCCGCCAAAAGGATGAGGAAAGGGAGGCAGGCAAGGAAGAGACGGAGGTGTTTCTTATTTTTAAAGGCAGATTGGGAACGGAGAGGAGTATCCGCAGTTAAACCCTCCGTGGATCAAGGGCACCATCTAATGGAGGAGAGCTGTGATGCTTCCTCTTGCTGACTGAATCTGTGCTCCACAGGGGCTGCAACAAAAAGGTGGAGCATTTCACCAGCCCACAAAAAAGGAGCTGAACGATCTTGTCGTCATGGGGAATGCAACTGGGCTCCAAGCTTGATTGATGGACTTTTATGCCTTTTGCTTCCGTGCAGGGAGAGAAACACAGCTGGGAAAATAAGAGAGGTCTCAACTGCCATCTGTCTATGAGACCTGCACACAGACTTTAGGCTCTGCAGGCAATGGTTTCGCTTGGTTCCTATTGTTTTTTTAGAGACTAGACTCCTCAAATCTACCCAGCGGAGCCTGGTACAACTCACACACACAGAATAAAATAATGTATGAGCCCCAGAATTCATTCCCAGTACCAGAACGGGATGGCACAACCCTTCTTCCCAAAATTCTATTTCTGGTTAATCCCAGCTTTCTCTATTAAAGCAACAGAATTAAAGGAGTCCTTTTGTTGCTGTTGTTAAACTGGGAGTCCGAAATCCTGGTGATCATCCAGTGATCTGCCTCTAGATCCAGATCACCCTTCTGTCCACCCCTGAAGCAGACGTAATTGTATTATGTTGATGAATGCATACAACACGCGGTACACTCCAGGGTCGAGGAACACTGAGCTGAGGACTTCAGTATCTGGAATATCATTTGTCAGGGGCCATAACCTAGCAGGGATGGGGCTGCAGCCCACATGTGTGAGGTCCTCTCAGCCATATTATCTGGACAGGCTAGAAAATGCCTCATTTCGTAAAGACTTTCCAAACTGAGTCTATAGTCTGCAATTTCAGCAAGCCCAATGGCAGGGGGCAAAAGGTTAAGTAATGAATAGCGTTAATGAATATAGGGCTAATAATAATATAGATCTGAGTGCCCCCAAATAGGGAATTCAGAAGGTGACCGCACATCACGAACTCTTTTCAGTGGTGGCTCCCTAAATTGTGGGATGCCTTCCCAGAAGAGGTTTGTCTGGCACCTTCCTTGATATTTTTTTGCTCCAGGCAAGTGATCTTCATTTTCTACATTATATTAGATATTCTATTTTATATATTATACCCTGAAGTTTTGTTCTGAAAACTATTAACTCTACCAGGATTTTTTTTGGAGGGGGGAGGGGGGCAGTCATCTGTTTAGTCATCTGCTGTTTAGTCATCTGTTCCAGAAAATACACAGAGAGCTTTTGCTGGAGTATTGTATTATGGCTGTATTTTCGGAGTTGCTGATTTTATCACTCTTTATTGCCCAAATTGTTTATGGCATCGGTGGTGATGATGATAAAGCTCCATTAATATGCAGGGCACTTACAAACAGCAAGTAATTTTACAGTCTAAAATTCCACAGAGGAGAATTTTAAGTGGGAACAAGGGGAAGACGATTTATTTTACTTACATGTTTACTTCCACATTTATGCTTCAAAACAGCTGAGTTGCTTCGGGAACTGTAGGTTTAAACCAAGTATCTGATGATTAAGGTTGATATTCTACATACATTTATCTGGGAGCGAGTCCCCTGGAGTTCAAGAGGACATACTTCAAAGCAGACATTCACCAGGGCAACCTGCTACACACCGCAGAATCCTGCTTGGCTTGGCATTACTTCCACATTTCTAATTGCAAACATGATTGAAATTAAGCCTTTGCTCCTGAGTTGGTGCTAGGCGAGCCACCATATGGCACATCCAGCTGGGGGGAAAAATACCCTAGGGGAATGGCAGCGTTTTAACCTTGCAGACAGGCAGGTGGCGATGCTGTGCTGACAGCGGCTATTTCCCATTAACTGAAACTGAGCAGCAGATGTGGAGCTGGTGACCAGAAGAGGTGGCGGCTCTAGGATCATGGATGGCTGGTCAGCCATGCGAGAGGAGAGCAGAGCTGAAGGAGGGAGTTTTAGCCGTGCCCTGCCTCCGAAGAGCCTTCCAAAATCAATGCCATGGGAGGGGGAGCATTGTAAAAGGGTAGGGAGCAAGCTTCCCTGGTAGTTCATGGGTTTCACCCACAGATGTGTACGGCTGCTATGAAAGGGCAAATCTCATGTGAGGCATACTTAGGAACTGAACTGGAAAGGAAAGCAACTGAAAACAAAACTGCCAATATTGTAATCCCTTATATGAATCTACGCCACAGCCATACTTAGAATGCCGGTTCTGCCCTGGCCATCACGCCTAAAAAAAAAGGATACTGTGGAGTTGGAAAAAGTGCAAAAATGATCCAAGGGCTGGAGCAACTCTCCTATGAAGAGAGCTTATGACATCTAGGATTGTTCGATCTGGGGAAAAAAGCTAAGGATAGACATGTATAAAATCTTGCGTGGTGTGGAAAAAGAGGACAGGGAGACATTTTTCTCCCTTCCTTTGCAGAACTAGAATCAGCTGGAATCACCCCATGATGAAAAATTCAGGACAGATAACAGGAAGAACTTTTTCACACAGCAAATAGTTGAACTGTGGAGTACGCTTTTACACGATGCCATGATGGCTACCAGTTGGGATGGCCTTTAAAAAAAGGACTGGACAAGTTCGTGAAGGACAAGGCCCTCAGAGCCACTAGTCCTGGCGATTGTATGCTTCCTTCAACATCAGAGATGGGTGTGAATTTTTACAACCTACTCTAAGTCATCCTCAGGGGCATTTGATCAAAAGTGGGATACAATTACTCTAAATAAAATAAATGCATAAGGAAAAGTTAGTCTGAGCTGGCAGAATTCTGGATGTCACCACTTCAGAATGAAATTGTATGGGGAGAGAACTGTATTTTGAATGTTTTTCCATGTAAAAATAGCCTGAATTTGCTAAACAGGAGATCAGTGTGAATGCTATGCTCAACTTCTCTTTGATGTATTTTACTTCATACAGAGATCTTTTTTCTAGGAGGGAACATTCGCAGACATGATACAAACAGGGTGGCGGGGAGAGTTAAAGGATTGAGATTTTCATGATGAACTTGGTTGCCAAGAAGCGAATCCGTAAATCTGTGATCTTATACACAAGCCGACAAATAAAAGATGGTGACCTACCTTAGACAGCAGTTATGCCATCAAATGATAGAAACTGTAATGCTGGATGATGTCAGAAAAATGCCTCTAGAAAGAGAGATCAAGAGGAAGCTGTGAACCTAGGAGAGGAAACATAAATGAAAGCGCAGCTAAGAAAAAGAAAGAAGTGGTTGATGCCTGAAGATGCTTCTTAGCAAGTTATAAACACCATGTTTCCATGTAGACTTTGGAGATGCTTGATTTATGCATTTTGCATCAAGAACACACCTTTTACATTCCATTCCATTTTAAAACTACAGCAACTGTAAACTTTCTCCTCACTTTGTTACCCAGTAAATATATTCCCCCCCATATCTATCCCACTTAACATCCATCCAAATGAAGAGATCTGATGAACTCAAAAACTTTTGTGAACTTGTTTATCCTAAAGGTATTGCATAACAGGCCCAGGGTTTTGTGTTTGTTTTGCTGTTTGAGTTTTTGCCTTCCCAATTTTAAGGAGCTTTGCTTTTTCCATGTTTCTAAGGGTCCTCCCTCAGTGAATCTACCTTCTAAGCTCACTACTATTCCTACGTTGCTTTTGCATCCCATTTTTCCTGTTCTGGGGAACCCAAGATGGCTTACATAGTTCAATTTCATCTTTGCAACAACTGTGTGGTGTGATTTAGACTGAGAGTGAGTGCCTGGCCCCAGGTCAAAGAGCTTCATGGCCAAGTAGGAACTAGAACCCAGATCTCCCAGGTCCCCAATCCACTACATCTGCTCTCACCATTGCCACCAGAGGTCACCTCTTTCTCGTCATTGCTATCACCTGGTTGCTTAACAGGCAGAGGGCCCATAAGCAAGGAGGCCGTGCCATCTGCTGCTCCCACTCCTCACCACCATTATTTTCGGGGCCAGAGCAAGCAGCGGGAGAACAACCGGATTGCAGTGCAGAAGAGGAGGGGCAAATTTGGCTCCCCTTTCCCAGTGAGACCTTACTGGGATGTGATTCTTAGTAATGATCTCTGAGAACCAGGTTGGAAAACCAGGTTCAGTTCTAACCATGAAGTGGATGGGGTAACCATGGGCCAGCAGTCCCTCTCTCTCTCAGCCTAACCAGTCTCAACAGGTTGTGGAGAAATAAATTCTGCGTGGGGAGGGGAAATAACAGTCAATATCCCAAGTTGTTTGGAGGGAGAGAAACAGAAAAAACGTTGTCCATTCAAGCCAAGCCAATCAATAGTATCATACTGGAGACTCTTTCTACAACAGGAAACAAGGGTGATTACTACTGGGTGAACGAGAAGAACTGGGCTAACCTTTCTCACACACACACACTCCAGTATGGGACGCCAGTTCAGGCTTTCACCAGCCCGGCGTCGCCCTCCTGACATCTTGCCCTCAAAATCACAAAGCAACAGCGACTTCCCTTCGCGGCCACTGCTAGCGTTGCCCTCAAGGCGGAACTCTATGCACGGAGTCCGCGTTTCCTCGGAGGACGCTAAACACGGAGACCACGCCCGGCTCAGTCAGCGGCTTTGGGGCTCGTGCGCCCGCGCATGCGCGCTCTCCGTATCGTCCGCCTTCCGCCTGAGAGAGGAAGGCGTGCTTTGATTGGGTCCGCGGCGAGGGGCGGGGGGAAGGGGGTCAGCCCGGTTCCGGATATGTGGCCATGGTGACCGTGGTTGCCAGGTAATGTGCTGTACGGGGGATTGTTGGGGGTTCCTGCCTTAGGCTGGTGGGGCTTTGACGCGGGTGAAGGGTCGCCCCCAGTGTCAGGACTGGGACGGCCCGGGTTCCAGCCCCCATCGGACCATCAAACCCACTGGGTGACCCTGGGCCAGTCAGCCTCTTTCACCGTGGCCTCCCTTGCGGGGCTGTCGTGCCGATTCGTGGCGTAGGGGAGGCGGAAGAGAAGAACCCCCAGGTTCGTGGAGGGAGCGTGGGATACAAAGAAGCCGAGCAATGATACCGAGCTCCAAGCAGTGCGAAGCTGGGCTGGATGAAAATCACGAGAAATAGGCAAGATGTCCAGGTCTCCATAACTTCGCACCAGGGAAGGTGTTCATCGGGCTTGAGCGGGGGGGGGGGGGAATGGGCGCGGGGAAGGCTGATTCGACCCTATAGCCAGGTTGTCGGCTTGGTCAGGGTTTCGCTTAAGAGTAACCTTATGAGATGGGGGCCTGGAGGGGTCCTGGTGGCGTCCATTGCCCTGCCTCGTCCTCGGAATACCACGGGGGTCTGGGGGGTCCCAGATGATGGCTCCCCCACCCGTAGCCCTCTCATGTACTCCCACTGTTGCTTCCGTCCTGAAAATCAATTGAGAAAAACGATGTCGAAGCTGTGCAGTACCTTGTAAATATTAGCACTAGGACACCCCCTCTCCGCACCCCCCCCCCCGGTCGGGAGGCACTGTGTGAAGTTGCTGTGGAAGAAGCTTCTCCCATTTCCCGCCATTACCCTGCAGGAGTATGAAGGATTTGAGGGTGTTCCACAAAGGATTGGATTGCTGTAGAATTAGTAAAGGTGGCAGGAGTGGATTTGGGATGTTGGAGGTTGTGGTTGTATTTAGAAAGAAGGGGGAAGGAGGCCTGCAAAGGGGCGGGGGGAATTGAGCTATTTCTAGGAGTTGCCCTTATGTTTTCAAATATTTCTTTGTAACCTTGACAGTGTAATTATACAAGACTTCTAATACTACCACTCTAAAAGCATTGTGCAGCAATTGCTGGTAAGAAAAAGGACGGAAGAAGTAATACAAAAACACAGGAAGGTTGCAATTGGAAGATGATAATTCCTGGAACCCTTGCAAAATCCTTTGAATTAGTCGGGGCAATTGCACAATAGCAGTTTGACTTAGAGGCATTCTTGTTCGCTGCTGCCCCAGAAGTAGGCTAACATCTAATAGGTTTAGATGACAGGAGGTTACATTTAGGTTGATCATTAGGAGACACGTTTTGATAGTATGATGAGTTCAGCACATGAGTGGGCTCTTTGGTGGAGAACTTCAAACAAGCTGAGCACCATCTGGGGGTAGGCTGTTCTGGATTAAATAGCCTACGTATCCCTCTCTAACTCCATGATTTTTACCCATGTACTTGTACACTGCTTGTAGAAGTTCCTAAGCCCTGTTGGGAAGAAACTGAGGGACATGCTGAGAATAGAACTCAGGTTGCGAGACCTGACCAATGAAAGGTATTTACAGAAGGAAGGACTGTATGTTTTTCTGAAAGGGTATAGATGAAGCAGTTCTGAGACTGTAATGATCTGTGAGTACGGGCCCCCTCTACCGAGTACCAGCTAATCCCACTGACTGGCAGCAGAAGTGAACTGCACAGTGAGTAGTGATGCAAAGAACAAACTCGGAGGCTCCGCTGGATGTAAAAGAATTATTGTCTCAAACAGTCCTATATGATTTATCTTGCGTTTATGTTTTGCAAACGTGCAGACAGCACCCTGTCTGTTTGACCATGGCCAGTAAAGAATGCTGTTCTTCAGTCAGGCTTTAGAAAAGGGTTTCCAATGGCAAAACAGGTATGTAGAGAGTGGTTTGTAAAAAGGGGGGGCAGGGGAGTTAGTCATTTGCATTAATGTTAACTGTGAGGCTGTTGTGTTCATAACTCAGGGGTAGAGCATAGGCTTGAGTAAAGCAGGTCTCGGGTCCAATCCGTGGCATCTCCAGTTGAACTGGGACTCAGCAGGTGGTGCAGAGCAGCTGCCAGTCACAACGGCCAGTACTGTGCTGGGTGAACCAATGGTCAGATGAGGCATGTTCATGAGTTCTGCACTGTGCGATAAGTGGAGGAGTAGTGGATGCAGATCCTGCCTGCACCGAACACCCATCTTTGTGTTTGATTCTCTCTCTCTCTACACACACACACACACACAGGCTGGGAAAAGTTGATATATCTTGATAACCAAACCCTAAGAAGAGTTCTAGATGCAGACAGGTTGGGTGAGCAATCTTCCCCTACTCCTTTCTTTCCTGACCCATGCAGCTGTGAAAAATACCCATCATGCTGATCGTGGGGTATCTATTCCATCCCAGAATGGCCCTGTATTAGGCTGGTATGGAGTAGAAAAGGGGGCATAGAAACATAGAAACAGAGCGAGTCAGAAGGGGTCTCCCGGGCCATCTAGTCTGACCTCCGGCACTAGCCGGCCCCACTCACGACATGCTGGAGAATGTCACAGAGAGTTTCCGTGGCTTGCTCTTGGAGGCCAGGCTCGAGGTGCGTGCCAGTACAGGACTGAGAGTGTCCGCTTGGCAGCTGGCCATTTCCCTATTTAAAGCCATCTGCCTTCTGACAAAACTGCTGATACCAATATAGGACACACTGCAGCGAGGAAAGCTCTTTATGAAAAGGTAGGATCTTGTATGTTCTTTCCTCTGCAGGGGTGACCCCAAAAGGCCCCATGCTATTTTTACACAGAAAGAATAAGAGGGTCGCATTTCTTATATTTCTTTTTAGAACGACACCTGTTAACTCCCTAGAATCTCCTGTCCCTCTTGCTGTCTTTTACACTTGGACATTCTGTTACCAGGGAAGCTTAGCGCTCATGAACCTCACTTGGCATTTGTCATAATTCTTGTAAATGCAGCATCGAGAGGCAAGTGTAACGCCAATGAACCTCCTGACTGATCTAGGTCATAATCAACCCGGTTGTAGCCAGAGCAGCTGTCAGTGCCCTTGAAGGACACCCAGCTCCGTCATTTCCAGCTCGCGGAGCAAGTGCTGTCCTTCTTTTCCCTCTCTCTGATGGAATACATTGTTATTGGAATGCCTGGTGCAGAAGAGTTCAACATTAACTGTAACGTGTTGTCTTTAGCACTGCATTACCTGCCTCAATGGCTTTGGAAGAAAATTAAATTATTTTCCACATGCGCTATTGAGGCAGTCATGGAAATTGACTTGTGTTGATGTGAGCTGACTTTGATTTGTGTTAATTAGAGGTATATTATTACCTTGTCACCTTAGATTTATATGTAATAGGCTTGGCAATACTCAGTCAAGTGATTAACCAATTAAAACATGGCATGGCCTGATGGTCCATAAGACCTATACCATAGCAGACTGTAATATCCTCCCACATTCAGATTGCTGTGCTACATGGATTCCAGATCACCCTAAATAATGTTCTGGTGCAATCAAAGCTGAGGCTGTTTGATGGAAATTGGGTTTCTGTGTGTATGCAAGTGAGAGTGAGAGTGAGAGTGAGAGTGTGTGTGTGTGTGTGTGTGTGTGAGAGAGAGAGAGAGAGAGAGAGAGAGAGGGAGGAATTAGGTGCTGGAAAATTAGAAAGTGTCCAGCGGAGGGCAACACAAATGATCCAGGGTTTGAAAACAATGCCCGATGAGGAGAGACTGAGAGAACTGGGCATATTCAGCCTTGAGAAGAGAAGACTGAGGGGGGACATGATATCCTTCTATAGGTACCTCAAAGGCTCAGAGAGGAAGGTCAAGATCTTTTCTCGCTGATACCAGAGTGTAGGACACGGAATAATCAAGTCAAGTTGCGACCACCCAGAGTCAGGCTAGATATCAGGAAAAGCTTCCTCACTGACAGAGCAATACGACAGTGGAACCAGCTGTCTAGAGAGGCCTTGGGCTCTCCCACACTGGAGACATTCAGAAAGAAGCTGGACGGCCATCTGGGTGGGATGGTGTAACATGGTGTCCTGCAACCACAGGGAACTGGACCCGAGGGCCTTCATGGCCCCTTCCAACTCTACTATTCTATGATTGTATGAATTAAACAGAAATATTGTATATCTTGGGAAATCTCTAAAAACATGGTGGAGGGAGGGGACTGGGTGGTTTCTGAGGCACCCTTCCCGTTCGATTGTGGCTGGTGAACTAGCACAAAACACCTTGTCCCTTTCCGTTGATCCGAACAGCAAGCCCATCAGTTCCAGCGCGGCCAGATGCTGTGCTGAGCAGAGACCCCTGCGACTGGCAGAGGTTGGGGTTCTTGTTTCTCCCCCTGGGGTTCACTTTCCTGTCCTCCTGGGATTCGCTTCCATGCAATCGGTAATGGGCTTCCATGGGCTCACGAAGGGAAGAGGAAACAAACCGCTTTCTTTCAGCAGAGCTGGTACAGTGGTCCCACTTGGCCTCTCCTCTCTCTCAGACGCGTTTCTACTTGCTCTTTTTCCTGCTGCTGTCCAAGTGAGTCTGGTGGAGCCCCGCTGTCACCTGGCTGTCTAAGAAACTGTCTTTGGCTATCCCTGTCTTACTGCGCTCTCGTTCAGAGTACCTACTCTACCTGCCAGGTAATGCAGCCTGCCAGGAAAGCGAGCAGATAGAATAAGTGGGAGCAGGCCGTGAGGACAGTCTCCACTTTGGGGGAAAAGAGCACGGCGGATGCTCAGCAGCGGCGGGGTCACGCAGGAGACTGGGCCGAACAGAGTGGCGCCACCTCCACAGTGCGGTCGTGGAGCCAGCCGGAAGGTGGGCAGGAGCGGGGCTTTCCCTCCCCGGTGCACAGCCAAGGCTGCCCTGAGGCCGCCTTGCACTGTGCGTGGTGATCCGGCGCTAGGGCAGGAGGGCGGCTCAAGCTCTGGACTGTTTACGTTCTCGTTACGTGCTATCAAGCCATCTCCGACCTCTTCCAAAAAGGCCCGTCCTTGACAGATCGACTGAGCTGTTCTAAACACAAGGTTGCGGCCTCCTTGATGGAATTTCTCCACCTCACATTGCGTCTTCCTTTTCTTCTTCTGCCTTCGACTTTCCCTAACACAATCAATCATATCTGAATATTACTACAGTGTTAATATTCATAATTAACATCCATCCCATCCCTTGCAAGTAACACGTTCCGAATACACACATGCTTCCCACAGCCTGACAGGGCACTGGGAAGGGATTGTCTGCATGCTGTGGAGGAGAGAACGGAGGCATGTCCAAGCCCCCAGCAGCCTCCTACAGAGCACAGCACGCTTGGCTGGAAGCAAATTGGCTTACTTGCCCTTCAGGCTGGGACTGGCCATTTGTTCCACAGGCTCTCCCTTGCCTGGAGCAGTTTTGCTGTCTGAAAATCACTATTTTAAACTAGAACGAGGGGAAGTGGAAAAGCCAAAGCAGCCGTTTCCAACCTGGTGCCCTCCAGATGGTGTTGGGCTGCAATAGCCACGCTGGCTGGGAGTGCAGTCCCACACAACCGGGGGGGCACCAGCTTGGAGAAGGCTGGACTAATGGGGCTGAGCAGCACTTTTAATTCCCAGCTAAAGGGGGACTGAAGCATGTGCTTGAACTCTAGGCCCTCAGCAGTGCTTAACTTTGGCAGGAGTCATACATGGCAGTTGTTTGATGTCTCCTAAGGATCAAGCGAACCCCACTTCTGTGGCTTAGTCCTCCATCATCATAACCTCAAACGTTTGTTTATTAGACTTGCATCCTGTTTTTTTACAATGAACTCAAAGCAGTCTACATCATTCTCTGCTGTCAGTCTTCTCCCCACAAGAACAGTCCTGTGAGGTAGGTTAGGCGGAGAGTCTGTGGCTGGCCCAAAGCCACCCAGTTGGCTCCATGGCCGAGTGGGGACTCGAACCCAGGCCGCCCGAGTCCCAGTCCCGTGCTCTTACCCCTGCACCACACTGGTCCTCTGTTTCGCAAAATAGAGCGAGCAAAGTGTGGTTCACGTGGCAGCCCGTCTTGGAGACCAACGGCACAGTATGGTCTGAGATGGAGAGAGCTTTGCCTTCCTCAGGAAGAGGCAGTGCTGGACCACATTCACGGCCCCTCTAGCTCCTTCCTGCTTTCCTCCCGTGTCATCACCATAACGTTACCTTTCCAGAGGCATTTGTGATTTGTGATTATGATGCTTTCCCTGTAGAACATTAGTCTCTAAAGCGATGCAATGGAGTTCCTTAACCTGGCACCGTGTTTAGTTGGGGGAAACTTTTCTGCAGAATCAAGAGTTCCAGAGCGTCAGGTGTTTTCTCTGACCGCGGATCCAAAGGCTTGTATCCCTTGGGCACGGCTGCTCACAAGGTGGTTTGACGTGTCCCCCTTCCAGCCCGTTCTGTGTATGTTGCTGCCTTTTGCTTTTGTTGGCGTTTGACTTGCATTTGTGATGCCCTATCGATAAGCAGGTACCGATATTACGGGACTACGGGGTTCCTTGTTAGGTATTTATCTAATCCATGGACAACTGTATGTTGGGGTGATGCTTTCTTCCTTTAGTTGCAAAGTTAGATGGCGAGGATTGACAAGAGCAGAGTCAAAATGCACACAGTGAGGAAAAAGCAATGCTCTGCACACACTCAGGAACCCTCAAGGTTTGCAGAAATATGCAAGCATTCTCTTTTAAGAAAACGGGACAAAGTCCCCTGTCACCCTGCCCCAGCACACAACACACACACACACACACCCCAGTAAGGACTGGGCACTCTCAACCGCAGAAATTTGAGTGTCACCTGGGAAGAACGGTGACAGGAACTCATTACAGGTTGGAGTAGCTGGGCCGGCTCCACAGCCGGCGCTCTGGCAGGAGCACTCTTGCGAGGGGCTCAGAATGCACTGCCACACTGAGCCACAAGGTCCAGGGCCATGGTAAACTGTCCCAGATCGCTTGCGCGCCTGTCGGCTTGCCCGTTCAGCATCACCCGCGTGTGAGGGGCTTTGCCGAGGACAAGAGGCACGGGGGCTGCCTCAGGGAGCTTCCAGCCTTAAATCTGCCATGGGGGAAACAACAAAAGGGAGGAAGAAAGCCGGGGCATCGGGGTAGACCAGAGAAGCACGCGTGATGAGCTGCTAGCTCCATGGATGGTATTGCTCTTCATTTTTACCTCGGGGACTACATGTAAATTTCCCGTGAATGCATGCAGCAGACCCTCCGCGGCGGGGTCTCTCCCACCCCTTGCAAAAAAAGCAGCTTTGGGGAGTGGATTGTGAGCAAGAATACATGGAGTGGGGTGCATCCCAGCCTACCTTTTGTTTGCTCGAAAACCTTCCCCAATTTAAAATGCCTTTTTACTGGCATTCACATGGGACAATTGGGGGGGGGGGGGGGGACACGCAAGGGAATGGAGAAGGGGTCAAGCACCGTTTCCCCACTGCCCCGCCTTTCAAACTCCCCCCTTTCTGAAGCAGCCCCCTTTTCAAGAAGGGAAAAGTGGGCCCCGCCTGGCATTACGGCGCCCGCGGGTGCATCTGCATGTGCAGGACGCATGGCGCCCGGGGTGTGCCAGCGCCTGACGCGCCTGAGTTGCTGTGCTGTTTCTTAAAGCGCGGCTGCGCTGCCGCTTTGGCGCTTGCCGCTTTGGCCGTGCAGAGCCGGGGGGGGGGGGGGGGCGCATGCACATGCCCGGTCCATGGAGAATTCGGGTCTTTAAGGAGAAAATGGCCACAGCCCGAGTCTTAAAGCCTATCAAATATGCATTATTTCCTAATTGCCTCCTTTTAAGCCGGAGTTATATTTTATCGCTGATCGGCACATTGAAAAGAATTAAGTGGTACAGGCCTTGGGCTGCATCGCTTCAGAGTGATGAAGCTGCTGCCTGTTTGCGTCTGTGTGTGTATATTTTAAGGGTGCGATAGGCAGTATCAGATTCCAGGAAGGGAGCATTTTCCTACTTCCGGCCTTCCTCTCCCTGCCCCAGTGGAGTTGTGCTTACTTACTCACATTTGCATACTATATTGCAGCCTTTCCCAGCCTGGTACCCTACAAAAGTTTTGGACTATAGGTATTAGCAGCTCCAACCACTGGACATGCCGGTTCAGCTGATAGAATTTGTAGTACAAATCATCCGGAGGGTACTAGGATGGGGAAAGCTGGTCTGTGTACCCATTGTGGGGGGAAATTCCACAGACACTGTGTGAACAGAACCCTGGAGGAGATGGACCAGAAGACTCACCCAAAATGGTGGTTCTCCTGTTCTTGCGAATTCAGCTGACTCCATTTCTGCCTTTCCTATCCTTGAAAAGACATTGAAGAGCCTGATACAGACAACACATGACTTTCACTTAATTGGGCCCTTTAAAAAAGTATATTCCACCTTTCAACCAGTTAGTCCTCAAGGTGGCCCGCAACGACTCCTTACGATAAATGACAGAACCGTTTCACCCCAGCTACAACCAGCGCACATCTTTTAAAATGACAACAGCAGCAAACCCCACTAAAACAACAGGTCCTCAGTAAAAGCAAGTTTTCAATTGGCATCTGAATGGGAGCAAGCAAAAGCACCTGGTGGGATACCTTGGGAAGGACTGGCAGAGTGAAGGGGCTGTTCCCTGTGCCCCCCCCCCACATTACATTCAAAGATGGGACCACCTACCTACCCACGGCTGTATTTCATCACTTGTGCCACACTGACAATCTGAAGGGACCAAGGAGCCAGATTTCTTCCAGTGTAAAAAGCTTTCTGCTTGGTTTATTGCCTGATTTAATGCCTCCGTTTGCATCTGAATATTAGTCCTCCGACAGGAAACCTAGGGAGAGCCTTTGCTCCATTCGGTACCTCGGATTTTAGGGAGAGCGGGCAGTTTAATGGCTTCCTTATCCCAGCTTACCAATTTTACATGTTGCAAAACGGGCCCTGGGGAATGGCTAGATGGGGTCAATCCTGCTGCATGCAAGAAATAGTAAAATGGAACGAGGCTTGTGACTGGGGCGTGTCATGAGGTTTTTGTCCTGCTTGTTTCCTACAATGCCAGGAGGAGCAGCAGCCATAAAGGAGCACTTATGGATCTTACCTCCACGGTCATCCTCCCCCTGCTTTTTGGCAGCCTGGGGCTCTTTGGCCTCTTCCGGCTGCTTCAGCGAATGCGGGTGAGGGCCTACCTCAAGGATGCTGTGGTGGTGATTACAGGAGCGACGTCCGGCCTTGGGAAAGGTAAGCTTTGCCGAGCACTGAGTATTGTCCTCATACCGAGCAGGATGTTCCTGGCCGTCTTTTCTCCAGAAGCAGAACTGCTGCCAAACTCTCCTCCTCACCTTCCACAAGTTCCAGGGTGGCATCGCAGCAGCAGAAGTCTTGTGAAGGGCGACAGAAGTAGAGGTGCGCGCCGTGTTTGTACCGCCTGCTTGTGAATGTACAGGTTGAACACGTAGGAAGCAAGTAGAAATACTGGGGGTGAGGCAGTCCTTCCTGTTCAGCTTCCCAATACCTCACTCACTCACCACATTTCTCACATACGGATTGTCACCTTCCTTCTTTTTCTAGAGCACGAAGCTTTCTCATAGTGTCCAGACTTGCTTGGTAGGGAGAGAGAGGACTGAAGGAACCTCTCTGTCCGTGAAGTTTTGCACAAAGCGAGGGAAAACCTCTCTGGAAGTTGGATAATGACTCAATCTGTCACTCCCACCTGGGATGCAAGTCCCTGCCAGCAATTTCAAGGTGGACCGCCTTCTGTCCACCGCGATACAAAGCTACTGTAACTCATGGCCGCATTCTCCATCACAGGCCCCTGGCTTGTATCTGTCCTAACAAATCATGTTTTGAAGCTGGCTTGTAGGCTTCTTAGAGGAGCAACAGGTCAAGATCTGGGCTCTGTTGCAGTGCTAAATGGGGACAGGAGAGAGACAAGAATCAAAAATAACATGGAGGTTCCAAACTTCAAGGCTGGAAAAAAATGGACGTCAATCTTTCTCTGCAGCTGAGAATGCTTATTCTGTGCATAAGACCACACTCATTTTTTTCAGCCTGAGTCGCTTGTCCCATTTTTTTCCCTTTTCTTTTCCATCAATCTGGTGGGATGGTGTGAATTTTCCTCCCTGGAGAGACAGAGGCTAAGCTGATGTCATCTTCCCTCACCAGGAGTATTTATTCACCATGACACACTAGCCCAAACACAGTTGCCCGCCCCTCTCCACCCACCATCCTCACAGAATAGCCCCTTGTCGTCCCGGAGAGGAGCTGCTCCATCATCTCATCGCTGATGGGTGTGGAATAACACAGACCCACCAGCAGGAAAGACGAGTATCCTACTAGTATCCCTGGAAGGGAGGCGTGCTGAACTGTTTTCCTTAAAGCTCTTTAAAAAACTGGAATAACGGAATTCTTTTCATGCTCCACAAACCAAACATTGTTTTACAGGAGCCAACATTCTTGGGATAGACGTGAGGTGGAGATGCCCTCAGCTGGCAAGAGCTGGAGGAATTGCAGGGAGAAAGACCATCGAGGCTGGGGTACTGATAGGCAGGAAGCAGCATCTGTGGGGGAAAGCGTAGGACTTGTTGTATGGCACGGAATCCTGTTAAACATTACACAATCAGGGCCTGCCACAAAATCTTGCAGGGTGCTGAGCTCTGGTTTAGGGCCAGCTGGTCTGGCGTGATGCTGTGTCTGTGTACCAGAACTGTTCCCCAAAGCCTGGAGCATCCATTAGAGCTGGGGGAGTACACGGGGGTGGGGGGTGTAATTCCCGTGCAGGGGCCAATTTGGCTGGGAAGGATTAATTCCACCCTCCTGCCTGTTGCAGGGTCCCCCCACCCCCACATCACAATTAAACTTGGAAAAAAATGTTTTCCAGTGATTTGGGATGATATGGGTCAAATTAACTGAAGATTCTGTTTTATTAGGGATGATTTGGAAAGAGCTTAATCCCTTGGCTTTGCCTTCTGTGAAATTTGAATAAACCCTAGCTGTTACGTCTACGTTTCCCATCTAAATGTACAGCAGCGTATGCCGATCGGTATCCTGCAGGCCACGGATACCCCCCCCCCCCACATCCAGTTCTCTGCTCCTTTTCCCCAGCAGTCAGTACTCCACAGCCACTGGCATGTTCAGTCCTCACTGGGCTCTTTCATGATCCTGCTTCTGCTTAGCTTTTGCGGGCTGGACGACACATCTTGGGTATTCTCACAAACCTCAGGACCCCCAAGCCTAATGAGGCTTCCCTTTTATTCACCGAGTCGCTCCTCCACTTTTTCCCCCTGTAAGGGACCCAAGGCAGTTGACACATTGCCCCTCCTCTTCATTCGACCCTCACAGCAGTCCTCTGAAGTAGGCTAGGCCTGGAGTCAAGGTCCCCGGTCTGACCCTCAAATGGCTACCCCACACAGGCTCGCTCTGCTGTGCAGGAGCCCCAAAGACATGAAATGAAACTTTGGACTGAGCTCAACACATCGGGAAACACATTCAGAGGCAAAAGGTGTTGTGAACACTGGAAGGCGCTTCGAAATGGGACCGTGCCATCCCCCCCCACACACACACACACCCATTGCCTGTTTGGTATGTGCCATTGAGTCATGTCTGACTTGCGGGGACTCCCTGAGCGAACGCCCACTAAAAAGTTTTCCCCCAGGCAGCCCTCCCAGCTCTTGCCACCTCAGGACGGCCCCTCCCGTGTGACTTTGCGCCACCTTGTCTCTGCATTGCCCCTGCGCCCACGACACACTCCCTCCCTCTAAGCGATGTCCGTCTGCTGTGTTCTCTCCCGGCAAGAATGTGCCAGAGCTTTCCATGCTTCTGGGTCCAGACTGGTGCTGTGCGGAAGGAACGGGGAGAGGCTGCAAGACCTCCTGCAGGAGCTTTCCGCTGCTCCCGGCCACCCAAGGAACGTGAGTGTGGGCCAGGCAGGGAGGGAGGGAGCGGGCGGGTGGGTGGGGAGGGAGCTTCTCCTGAAGAGGTGCAGCCCAGCTTTCAACCCCTGCTGTCTCCAGCTTTGAAAAGGAGAGTGGGAACAAGGGATAGAGGGAAACTCTACGCGAGGCTTCGGAATGAGGCACCACCCCATGGGGTGGGGAACTGCACAGCTAAAATGCGGATTTCTCCCTTTGGGATTGCGGCCAAGTACTATTTTTTGACTACTGGCAGCCCTTACTAATGGCCCAGGTTGCCCTTGGCCAGCTAGCCCTTCCAAGGGGAACTTGAGGCCCTTACCGAGAGACTGAAGGAGGGGTCTTTTGAATGCTGTATCACTCTAGACTAAAGAGCTGTTTATTTAAAATGTTTCTATGTTGCCTGCTCCACCTACGGCATCCCCAGTGGATCCTTTGACACTCTGGAACGTGCAAGAGAAATGTGCTAGGGCTCATCTGCAGCGTACGGATCGGGGCTATGATCTGCACAATAGTAAAGAACCCCGCAAACTTTTTTAACAGCCCCATAAACATCAGACTGTGATCTTTGACCTCTCCGACATCAAAGCCGTCGTCAGCGCTGCAGAAGAGATCCTGAAGTGTGTCGGTCACGTGGACGTCTTGATCAATAATGCCGGGATCAGCTACCGAGGCACCATAGTAGAGACGGTGGTGGAGGTGGACAGGAAAGTGATGGAAACCAACTACTTTGGCCCCATTGCTTTGACCAAAGGTAATGCTTGAGATACCTGGCTCATTTTAATTTCGTGCCCACCACCTCCTGCCAGAGAGTTCTGCTTCGTCAGTGCAAGACGGACTGAGCAGCCGCAGCTGCACAAGCCACCCGATGCCACGCACGACAGCTGCCGTGCCGTGTGCGAGGGTGAGCAGGTCTCCGTGAGTGCGGTCCTCCGAGCCCCGATGGTGCCCATGGCGCACTTCTCCCATGCCTCACAACTCAGTCGTTTCCAGGCCCGAGGCAGCACACGTGTCAAGCGAGTTCCAAGCCTGAGTGGCCCCAGCTTGCCCCCCAGGCCTCCCCCCACCGGGAGGCCAGCTTGGAACGCCGTCACTCTTTGTGCTGGGCACACAATGCAGGCTAGCATCACATTACAGGCACGGACAGCCGTTCCTCTCGGGTGCACTCCTGAGCCCTCTGCCTGGAACAAGGTCCAGACTCGGCGGGACTCACCTGCATGTTCAGAGGGCCTTGGCCCCACTTGGCGGGGAAAGTGGAGGGCAGCCCCTGCAGCATCTGCCCCGTGCAGAAGCTGACCTCCCACTCAGCTGGGTCTTGTGCTCCTGGCCTACGGAACCGTGCCTCCACACCTGGGCTTCTGTGCCTCAAGCTGGCATCGTACCCACCTGGGCCAGCCAGCACGAATTTAGTTAGGTTTCTGGGGAAGAACGCCTCTTGTGGTCGTCACTGTCTTCAGTGGGCCGTCATTGCAAATGAATCGATCGGGACTGGGGTGAGAGCACGCCCGCCTTGGACAAAGCTGCCTTGGCCCTGGCTGCTGGTGCGCCTCTCTCCTCCTCTTCTGTCTCTCGAGAGCCTAATGTGATTTGTGATTGTGTTGGCTCTCTCCCCCAGAAGCATTTCTGCCAATACAAGGCTCGCTGCTCTGATGGTTCCCACACCAATCTCATGACTAGAATAAATTATGCAGATTAAAGCACCTTGTATCAGTCTCTTCTCATGATTCAGGATTGGCCTCAGGCAAAGCAGCAGTTGGAAACAGGTAATGATCCTGGGACGTGATTGTAGGCCAGAGCCAGGGAGGACGGCTGGATTTCCCAGGATCTAAACGCACACTGGTTCTTGTGACAGCATGTGCAGGTGGCGTTCTCATTTTTCTTTCTCCCCTGCCCACTCACGCTCCCTCTAGCACTTCTGCCTTCCATGATCCAGAGGAGAAAAGGCCACATCGTTGCCATCAGCAGCGTTCAAGGCAAGATCGGCATCCCTTTCCGCTCTGCATGTAAGTACCTCATGAGGGTCCGGAACCGCTGGCTGCAGCTCTGAGCAAAGGGACTCTTCGTTCTGATGCATTCCTGCTTCTCTGCCCATCCGTCCCCTCCCTTCCCTTCCCCTCCACATCAAGATCTCAGACATGTCAGCGAAGTCTTCAACTGTGCAACTAATTCTCACTGTATTCTTTGAGTTAATTAACTTCAGGACTTGGAGATTCTTGGTATCTATAGAAATGGAAGCCCGCAGAGTCTAGATTTGGAAATTCTGAAATGAACAAGGTGGTAAGGCCATTGTTGGCTGCTTATAAATCCACCATATTCTTCTTAGCGTTCTGTGTGGTCTGGGAAAGAGCCTGTTGCTACTGAGCTGGAACCAAACTTCCCGCTTCAGCCTTTGGCTCACTGGGGGCAAGGGTCACTCTAAATTTGTTCCCCATCTGTTTGTTGTTGTGATGGGCCACCAAGTTGTTCATAGGATTGCCGTGCGTCAGAGACAGGTGCCCTCCCAAATGCCTTTCGCGGCCCTGCTCAGCTCTTGTGGCAGATGGGAAGCTTACAAGACTTCCCACAATTGTCAATAGGATTAAGAAGAGGGGACTCCATGCGATAAAGGGCAGCAGCACTGGTTTCCAGCCTTTGCTAAGTCTCTCTAGATGTTTCATTTTATGAGGAGGAAAGTCCTACTCAGCAGCTGCTGGGCCCTTAAATCTACCTCTGTCGGCTCGGAGCAAGCAGGAACTGTCCCCAGGACCTGTAGACCAGAGGCCCTGGAAAGGAGTCACCTCGCTTGTTGTTTGCCTCAACCAAGGGACGGCGGCCTTGTGTTTAGTCGTTGTGGTCCACAGCCATTCAGGCCCCATGCGAGAAATAATTATGCCATCCAGCTGGGAAACTGCAGGTTGGTGAGTGGAGCTTCCGCCCTTCTTGGGTTTTTCCAGACGCAGCCTCCAAGCACGCCACTCAGGCCTTCTTCGACTGCCTGCGAGCAGAGGTGGAGCAGTACGATCTGGACGTGACCGTCGTGAGTCCCGGCTACATCCAGACAAACCTATCCCTGAATGCCGTGACAGCAGATGGATCCCAGTACGGAGGTGAGGCCTGGCTTTGCCTGTGTAATTCGTGTGTATTTGCCAATCCAGAGAGAGCAGGGTTGTGCAGAGCCGTCTGGGGGAGAAAGAGCTGGCAGACAGCCCCTCCAGTTCTGGCCACCCAGACTCGAAATTCGTGATGTAAAAGTCCTTTAATGGACTTGACCTTCTTGTTTCCGGGCGGTAATGGTGACTCTCTCTCTCCTCACCCCTAAATCCATGGGCTTACTTTGTGATCATGCGCTGGCCTGTCCAAACTTCCCGCTCTTTATCCGCCAGACAGGATGCAGCGTACTTGCCTGTGGCCAGCCCAGCATAAAAAAATACAAGAGCATGAGAAGAGTTTTGCTGCACCAAACCAGCTTCCATCTAATCCAGCCCTGTGTCTGCACCGTGGCCAACCAGCCGCCTGCAGGAAACCCACAAGCCGGGCAGCAGGGCAACCGAACCCTCCCACTTGTGGTCCCCAGCACTTGCAGTACAGCGTGGTATAGTGGTTAGTGTGTTGGCCTGGGACTCAGGAGCTCCAGCTTCTAGGCACCCCCCACTAGCACACTGATTCTTCACCCAACTGACCTCACAGGGTTGTTTTGAGAATGGAGAAGAGAACCTTGTTTCTGGTTGGGCTTCTTGCAGAAGGAAAAAGAGAGGGGTGCAAATGTAATACAATCATAGGTATACTGCCTCCGACAGTGGGGACAGCTTAAGCCATCAGAATGAGTAGCTATCGATAGCCTCCTCTTCCTCCCCCTCCATGAATTTCTCCAGTCCCCTTTTGAAGCTGTTCAAATTAGTGACCCCCACTACATTGTATAGGAGCAGGCTCCGTGGTTTAACCATGCAGTGTGAAGACTGCCCTTTTCTCTGTCCTGAATCTCTACTGTTCGGCACAACTGGATGACCACCCCCTTTTGGTTCTTGGAGAAAAATTTGCTGCCATCTACATTTCCTGACCTGTGTATAATTTTGTGCCCTGTCACAAAATTGTACCTTACCTTACTCAGCTTTTCCCAACTTTGTACCTTACTCAGCTTTTCCCAGCCTGCCACTAGAGGTGTTCACCTGTCGCTTTCGCTTTTCAGTGATGGACAAGACCACCAGTGAAGGCAAAGCAGCCGTAGAGGTGGCTCAGGTGGTCCTCAGCGCCGTGGGGGAGAAGAAAAAGGAGGTGCTGGTTGCTGGGTTTGTGCCGTCTCTGGCCGTGTACCTCCGCACACTCTGCCCCAGACTCTTCTTCACCTTGATGGCCTCCAGGGCCCGAAAGGAGAGGAAAGCCAAGGACGCTTAGCCCTGCGTGGAAGCGACTTGAGTCTGTCCAATCACTGGCTGCAATCAGAAACCAACAGTGACTGTTTCTAGGTTCTGTGGGAAGCACGAACATCCCTAAGCCGCAATTCATCTCTCCCGCTCGGGTGAAGGGTTGGATCCTGCACCACTCGCATGTCGTTGCCAGCACCCGAGAAGAGCAGCCATTGCCGCCCAAAGTTTTCTTGGCCACTGCGGAGGAGGACATCCGCTGCAGGACACAAGGTGCCAGACCAGCATGAAGTTCTGCACAGACCAGCATGAAGTTCTGCACACACAACAGTTGTGCACTCCCACACTTGCCGTTTATTTGCCTGGGGCTTGTTCAGAAAACATGTCTTAGTTTCTTCTTGGCATGGCTCATCATCTATTTGTGGGTGGGGAGCAAAGATGCAAGAGTTCCCCAGGTTTTCCCGATACTCCCTGCTTCTTAAAGTCTTACAGGCACCACCTTTACATGGGAGCAGGTGATGGAGAAAAGGGCTGCAGACGCAGGGCTGAGGTTAAGCCGCTTACCCTGCGCATGCCGTGCCCTACTTTGCCGTTGCATTAAGAAGGCAGGGCCCCCTTCGGCTCACATCACCCTCTTCCTCCTTCCAGCATGAAAGGGAGCGAGCTTTATTACATTGGCAAGGTCTGATGTTTTTGTTGAGAGACTTGTGGAAGGGAAAAGGCGGCTTCCTTCACAGCCACACCAGACTCACGAATTGCTATTAAAATAGCCAGACTTAAAGAAGGTGTCATCGGTTGAATGTAATACCTAAGGCAGAACTCTTAATAGTTGGCACCCGATTTTTTTTAATGCATCCAGGAGTCCCTGGAATTGCCTGTCTAACCTATGAGCCCTGTGCACGTGCTGGATTACAACACCCGTCACTGGCTTACATCACCCTATCGGCTGCCCCGACGGGTGCTGTAATCTGAAGGGTCACGGGTTGCTCACCCCTGCCAAAGTGTTTTCACACACGACATGCACGTGTGTGATTCAAAAGGATCACCTGTACGGATGCAGCGCGTTGTCGGCACCTGGTCAAGGTTCAAACTGCACTCAGACTAAGCATGGTCACGATGGGCTGGAGTCCCGCACACCTTCCTAGTTCCTGTGGGTTCTTACATTTAATACTAGACCTAAATTAATCCTCTTTGGGTATTATCAACGTCCTCTGTCATCCAGAACAACACCTGTAAGTATCGCTTCCTTTGCCAACTTCAAAGTTCCTTTCAAAAGCAGACTTTTCTATAGAGAAGCGTGTGTGTTTTTAACGCATGCAATTGGTTCCCAGCATGATGCTTCCCTGCTGCCAGTAAGACTAGTAACAAGAAGATCCAGTCCCTGCACTGGTCACACCTTTTCCAGCATCAGCTTGCACATTATGAGTTATAAATAGAGCCACGCAATATTTTTAAGCTTAGGTGTACAAATTAGAGATTGCTTATGCAAAACCAACTAAAAACAACTAAACAGCTGCTTTTTTAGCTTATATGCTTTAAGGGAATTGCTGCATTAGATATGACTCCTCTCTATTATAGTCCCTAAATTTAGCCCTACAGCAAGAAAAACCAACTGCAGATTCTGTGTGGCTTTCTCAGATGTGAAGAGTGCTTGTAGGCATGCTTGATTGTGCAACTGCCCTGTTTCGCTCACAGAATTCTACTTTCTGGGGACGGAACTCCAAGACAAGGCCCCCTTTCATTTTACCTCTGTTTTCCCACTGCTGCTTCTGTCTTAGAAACATAGAAACAGAGCATGCCATCTAGTCTCCTGGGTCACCCCCGGCTCTAGCTGGCTCCGCTCACAACATGCCTACCATGTGCGTGTCTAGCCTATCCTTGAACAAAAGGATAGGTATTTTTCCACAAAAATACCAAGACTAGGAGCAATATGCATTGTCGAAAAGGGGGAATAAATTGCACAACAACAGATAGCATTACAAGCCCTACCTCTGAAAGCACTATAAAAAGCAACCTTATATAGCGCCCTGCAGAAGGCTATATAGTGTGTGTCTCACACACACACGATGGAACGGAAATGGCATTCATCGGCCTTGCTACCACTTGATGCAGAAAAATATTTTGTGCCGTCAGTGTTGAGTATCTGTCTGCATCAAGTGGTGACAAGGCCCATGAATGCCCTTTCAGTACCAGGTGCTGGAAGCAAAGAGGATGGCGCTCTTGTTGGCTGCCTGCCAGAAAGTGAGATTGTGCAGGATGGGCTGGGTCAAGATTCTGAGATCGAGGAGGTAGAGGTGACTCTCTCAAAGCCAGGCAGCCCTGGGAACGACCAAGATGTACAGCCACTGAGGATGAGGAATGCTCAGAGACTACGCCCCCACTGCTCTTGACCCCCCTGGTGAGGTGTCAGCAGAGCGGAGGCCCAACTGGAGGCCCAACTGAGTAAGCGGAGAGGTGTGGGGAAAGGCGGTGTGCTCGTTGACAGACAGCCCCTCCGGAGGGGATGGGGCCCAGGCATGTTTACAAGGAGTGTTCCTGGAAGCAAACACGAGGTTGGTTCAACAAACTGCTCTGTGCATGCTCAGAGATCCATTCTGGGTGAATTGTACTTGGGAGCAATAAATAACATTTTGCAAGAAAAACCGCCTGTGGCTTTTGACTGGTTGGAGGAAGAACCTCACCTCACACCACCAGGTTGCAACAGAGCAAAATGTGGAGGAGCCAGAGGTAGGAAGGGGAAAGTGTTTCTGCGAGGCACTGTGGCTGCTGCATTTCAACCCTTGCCCAAACTGACCTGCTCAGCAGCTGCGACAGCAAGCTCTTTGCCTGCTGCACCAGATTCCGGGGTCTAAAGATAGCACCATGTCTGGTGCTCTCCTTGAGAGGCCATTTCAAGGTCTCTCTTCACTGCACGAAGGTCAAGCTGCTGCTACCATGTTTAGTGAGGGGATATACCTGGCCGTGGGCTGCACACTTCCATGCTTCAGTTCGTATCTTGCAACCTTCCTGTATGGCAGCTGGAGCCTTGGCCAAGGTCACCCATCCCCACATTACTTTAAGGTTTATCAATTAAAACTGAGCGATTTCAGGCAAGACTCTTCATATTGCCCATGAGGAAACACGCAGAGCTCAAAGCGACAAAAGCGGCACCAACACCTGCTTCATATTCATTATTGAAACTGCAGATGCAATTTACTACATGTTTTAACATCATCACACTGTATTCTTCCCCACCATGAGTCGGTAATGCAGAATAAATTGTACTAGATCAGTATTCTCCAACCTGGTGCCTTTCAAACATACTGGCCTGCAACTCCAGATAACCGTGCCTGTGCATTAAATCCCAGAGGAAAGAGGAGATTGAACGGACCTCATTGTCTTGCTCTATGTACCAGGTAAATGAGCAACTTTTAAAGTAAACCAGTACAGGAATACCAAAGATCACAATCAAAGCATCTGAGTCAGCCAGCACAGACCTTACCTGCAGACTGGTGGTGCTACTGAAGAAAAATGACTAATTACAATGTGAAGAGGAGAAGTGAGTGGAAGTTGGCGGCAATCTGGGGAGCGGGGGCACGCTGGCTTGCACTAACCGAAATCAAGGAAGGTGAAGAGATACTTTGTGGAGAAGTCCTGAAAATGGAACAGCACGTGGCCTATGGCCTTGCTACCCTGAGCAAAAAATCGGCTTGGGGATGTGCAAGCAACAGGGCCCTTGCCTCTGAGCCTGCTATTTGCCATTCAGACAGAAACTTTTCAGAGGAGGAGGAAGTTCATTAGAAGCATGTCATTAATCCCAAACAATTCCAAGAAGTGGGGAACTTGGCTCAGCAGGCTCGGTGACATAACCTCAGAAAGGAGCACACAGCTTGACTGGAGTTTAAGCTTAGTTTGGTTAACGCTGCAACTCTTCCAACTGGCTTTTATTTTCCTGCATCACAAGGATTACCCGCCCCCTTGTATGCATGTACCTGCAAGAAACCATGGCTTGCTTTTAACATTCCAGCAGGAGAAATACCAGGAAAGCTCTGACGTTTCAGGAAACGACCAGGGCTTGCTCCGAGGAAGGCCACACACAGCACACGGTTCCGCTTGTTGCCAGCAAGAGTAAGCCCTCCCCAAGGAGAGGAGGCCTCACCTCACACCTGGAGTCAGGTACCCAAGGTATCCCTCAAAACTGTAATTCCCATTACAAATAGCCCCACATGAAATATATTCTTCCACATCTGTCTTCCAAAGCCCGGCGCTCTCCAGATATTTTGAAGGGTCGCTAGAAGTACTGCTGTTGGCTGGCCACTGTAGCCAGGGCTGCAGAGAATGCAAGGCCAAAGCGGCTGAAGAGTGCCAGGCTGGGGAAGCCACTTCCCCGTGAGGCCCCCAAGAAAGCAAGACAGCGTGAAATTCTCATCCTTTAATGAATGGTCAGTGATAACTTCGAGCTGGTTCTGTAGAATACAATTAAACAATATACTTAAAGGTTTCTCCAAAAAAAAAAAAATCTCACTTCCCCTCCTGCATATCACTTCCTTTCATTGGCATCCCATCATTGACGCGGCTCCCACAGAGCTCCGTTTCACTGCAGATCCATGCCCGAGGTGTAAAAAAGCACAGAGAATGCCCTTGATGCACCCGTGACACGCGGTTTCTGTTTTAAAAATAAGCTGCTTCCCAGGTACCACCACTGCAAGAGGAAAAAAGTCGAACGTTACTGTGGGAGTCTTTAATACACTTGTTGTCTTTGCACGTTTTCTCCTTCGCCTCCCGCAATCATACGGCGTAGAGTTCGTAAATCTTCTTGACACAGTACACCAGGGCGGCGAGCGCTATCGTGTTGTGCAGTCTCTTTCTGTGCAGGTCGTCCTTCCTCACCAGAACCACGGGGGTGGAGGAGGTGAGTGTATGCAGAGGCAAGCGCGAAAGTTTATAGGCGTTGTACTCCACCTGGTATTTGCAGCAAGGGTCGAATTGCCAGGAGATTCCATAGAGAGTGCAGCAGGCTACGCTCAGCACGCCGGCCGGCAAGGAAATGTAATGGGAATAATCTGCAGGGAGGGCCAGTGGGGTGAAGAGGCAGGCGGTGCCTGCCAGGACGGCCGTCTTGTGCAGACAGTTCCCGACAGTGATCCAGCGGGCCGTCTCGTCCCCGATGCGTGTGGGCTCAATCACAATGTATTTGTACTGGGCCTCCAGGGCTTGCTCCAGCTCGTATTCAAACTGGTCCTGAGCATTCTCCCCGTTGTAGATTTCATGCACAATATAACAGTCTGTGGCTGACAAGGTGACCCTGTTGGAAGGAAAGGCAGAGTTACTCGAGGGGGTGAAAACGGGCCTTCCTTGTGTGCTCTTCTCACTTTTTTTTAACAGCGTTCCTTAAGGGGTGTAAGTATGTCTGTGAACTGCAAACCCAGTCTTGGCAGAGGTAGGTAAAGCGGGGTCCCACATTCCAGTCCTTGAGTGTCCTTCGTAACACTCCCAAGTTGAGCCCCGAGGAAGCCAAAGCCTTGCACTCAGAGTTATTCTAAGAATAATAATTTTCCCCATTCTGGGCTGTATTCCAAGTCTGCATTTTGAGATGGATACAGGCAATAGGTGAGAACTGGGAAACTGAGCGACTGATCTGGATGTCCTAGGCCAGTGCAGAGCACACCAAAACCTCAAATCCTTTGACCAACTGGAAGCTTTTGTTTTTGGTCACCAAGCATTCGCAGAAGACGCTGAGAACATATCTCCGAATTTTCCTGCCTTAAAAATCTTAAGGACTGGAGATTTCTGCACCATGTGCTTGGCAAAGAGCAGCATCAGCAGCTAGTGCCAAGCCAGCATACCAAGGCCCAGCTGCAGTTCCCCTTCAGTTTTCATCCTGAAGCCCATTTTAAGACCAGTCTGCAAAGCCGGGCAGGTTTTAGGTGGCGTTATTTTTCTGGGACAGATTTAGGGATTACTCCCAAAGTAGCTTCACAGGCAGTGCTCTGACAAAGCTGCCGAGGATGCAATGGTACCGAAAGCAGGTGAGGGCTGGCTTTCAGAGAGCTGCAAACACGCCGGCAAGCGCATGTTAATGAATGCAAACAACACACCCAAACAGTGCTGTCATTTCAGATACCTAATTAGCAGCGCAGTGGCATTTTAAAAATCAGTCAGGTCTTGGCTTAGGGCAGGCTTTTCCACCAGAATGACAACTTCCCCCTGGGGTTACCCAAACCCCTTACTCAGTAATTTCATATGAAGGCTTTTGCTTTGATTATGGGAATCATACTGTTTGCTATCGGCTTACCTGACCAAAGTCTGAGGTGCCATTCCTGAAATTAAGACTTTCATGAGACTGTTCACTTGCTTGGGGAGGGCCAATTTTATTGAGAAACGATTTACTGGAAACCACCAACTTGGAAAATGGAGTTAGTTGGCTGCTAAGCTGCAGAAATAACAAAATGGTCAACTCTCATGCTGAAAATAAGCAGGGCTGGAAAATTTTCAGGGGGGTGTTTGTTCAGTGATGCAGGAATCCAGTGCTCAGGAATGCAAGCCCCTTTCCAACACTGACAATTACCACCAGTCCTAGCTTAATTTCATGCAAGAATCTTTCCTGGATTATGTACTTGAATAAGGTACGGGGGAATGGCAAAAGAGCAGAGGTTCCATCTGCCCCAACGCCACAAAGGCAATGGCAGATGTTACAGCCACCCCCGCAGCGCACAACGGTAAAGCGTGTTTGCTGTTTTAATGAATTCACTTGTTTTAATGGGTAGGCAGTAACTGTAAGCTTTCCTGTGAGTCCAAGTGGGCCCAACAGCAAAACATTTATTGCATGTATAAACATTTTAAGTGTGGACTGATTGCCAAATGGTACGCATCCCAGTGTTTCCCTTCAAAGTAGACAAGAAAGGGGTCCATTCATTTTCAAGTTGCTGTCCTAAAGCATTTTCAAGGAGGAGATGAAGCGTCTGAAATGCACTGGCTTTCTTAGCGGACATGAGCAAGTCCTACAGAAATTTGTTCCCAAGCACCACATGCAAGTCTGAGCCGCACCCCAGAGAGGAACAAAATGAGACAAATGTGGGGATGCATCAACCACAACAACCACACACCGTTTTATTCATGGGCAATTTAAGGCCACGGGTGGAGATGTCAGATGTGATGGAACACATGCCCGGGAACATCAGTGGGGCAAACCAACATGCACTCGAGTGCAATGCTTAAATAGGGTGGGGTTGGAGCTGAAATTGCATGAGCGCAATGATCCAGGTGAGTGTGTGCGTGCGTATGTATTTTTTAAAACAGCTCTCAAGTTCAAAGAGCCAGAGAAAGGCTCCCCCACCTTCCCACTGTAGAACTTTCTATTAATGGAAAAGCTGGCAATTGATGGAGGCTCAGCAGAAGATCTCTCAAAACTTACTAGAACTAGAACATCCAAGGGCTGATGCGCCCAGCCAGCTTGTGCTTGCTAATCAACACAGGACATATTACGGTTGCCATAACAAGGGAGAGCCTTTTCCAGGCTCCAAGAGTTCACACACAGCCAACGACACCTTTGTTCAAAGCAGGTCAGGAAAAAGCTTTTGGGCAGCTGTGGATGCCACACATTCATCTGCTAGACCCTCTCATCCAAAACAAAGGGAAGCTTTGTGTTGTGTGGAGTTTGTTTAGTCAGTCTGGAATAATGTTTGCATCAGGGACACTGGGAGGGAGGACGGAGCTGAACTTCAGTGGTGCGGCAAAACATCCCCCCAACCCGCTCCCAGCGCTCTCTAAGCAAAGATGAGAATCTCAAGAAATGTGCAGAAAACCCCACAAAGGCTATTCATCCCCATGTGACAGCCACATTAGCAATTTAAATAAAACACTGTATGGGGGGGGGGTCGGGGTTGGGGGATGGTGAAAGAGGTGCCACACCTCCCAGAAAGCTTTTTTGATTAGGCTAATTAAGCTGGAAGACTACTGTAAGAAAGGCACAGCACCAGTAATACTACAGACAGGACAGAATATTGGGCATGAGAGTGTTAGTGCCTCGTTACACATTCAAATCAAACCAGTGGGAAGAGGAAGAAGAGCTAAGAATATGTGCTTTCGGAACACCAGCTTTATTTACCAGTGTGTACACACTCGGCTGGCATTAATTCCTGCCACCTAGAAAACGGACTGAGGTTTAGCCATGCAAATTGCCCCCTCCCCTCAACCTCTCCATGGGCCTGTGAATGCTCATGCTTAATAATCATGCTTATTAGGGCTGCAAGCTATAATTGCCAGATCTGTCTTGGTTAATTGGTTGAGGCAGAACTGGAATCAGTGGTGCTGCAAGTTAAGGGCCATTTTGATGTTTCTCTGCCACAGAAATTGAAAAAGGAAGTATCAGTGTTCACCTGTCCTTCTGGTGATAGACAAACTTTTTTGGGGGAAAAAACATTTTGCAGTCTTTTGCTTTTTTTTATTACCTATATTGAGGGAGGTCGATCATTTGAGAAACTTATCCACTAAGTGCTTTAGTCAGCTAATACAATTTTTAATCCCACTTTCCTAGCAAATATGCTTGTTATATCTAAGTGGCCTGCAATCTAAAGTCAAACAATAACCATGATAGTAAAACGTTTGCTAATGCAAAGCAGCAGCATTAATAAGAACAGGTGATTATAGTCACTTATAACCCTAAGGAAAATGCAGTTTTCACCTAGAAAAAAACAGAAGTGTAGGTACCAGACACATTTGGGGAAGGTATTCCAAGGCCAGGTAAGAGTGTGCATAAATATATTCATGCTCTAATGCATTCAAGCCCATGCCAGCATCTCTGATTGCCTTTTGATTCACATTATCAAAATACTGCAGCATGAATTCGCTGTCTGGATGTGCACATGAACATTCAAAAGCAGTGCCTTCCAGTGGCTCTTGGGAAAGAGGTGAACTCTGACTTCTAGGCCGCACTGCTGGCTCATCGCGTGGTCCACGCAGATAAACGCCCATCGGGGGAGCTACCCGGCCATGCCACCGCACTCCGAGAGCACCGCACCAGGGGGACCGATCGCCTCCTCTCAAGCGGGTTAGGCCAGTGCTGTCTGACAGCCAAACACAGATATTCAGCAGACCAACCTGTCCATCTGGAGATCCAAGCTCAACACTACTGTGCTCCAAACAAAACGTTTCAGTGTGAACCACAGCTGAGGGATTCAGCGTCACCACACCAGGAGGTGGGCAAGATCCCCTGGGCAAGCTGGGCACTGCAACAACAGGACAGGAACTGCAGATCAGAGCCGGAAGCAGCAGCAAGGACATTTCCCCAAGAGCATCTGAAGGCGCACGGCCTCCGTCAGCCATTCACACCAGCCCTTTCATGCAGCGCCACCACGGGGGGGGGGCAGTCCAGAACGAAGAACCGAGCCATGAATGTGGATGGGAAAAGGCTCCACGTTCGGAGCCGAATCGGGGCCTTCGCCATGACGGCTATGAAATTTGCTGATAATCACATGTGCAAAGGAGGCTTTGCTTTCACGCAGCGACCACACGAAGGAGGCTGCGATCTCTTCGCTCCCAGTGAACGGCATGTCCTCCGTCCAAACTGCTCTTTTGATAAACTGAGCAACACACTCCCGCCATCCTTGACCTTTAATGGTCCAAGGGTTCCGTGTGTTACCTGGATCCAGGGGCTTGCACCCAAAACAGGCTCGGATAAGCATATGGGGCATGGACAGGCCGCTGTAAGACCTGGGCTCTGCAACAAAATGCTGTCGCATGAAGCCAGTCAGTCTCACCCTTTTTCAGTGAGCGGTCAAGGTGCAGTCAACCGTGCCTGCTTTCAGGGTACTCTGTTCCATTCCCCACCCCCCACTGACGTTCCCCTCCCTCCCACAGCATTCAAGCTCCCACTGGTCTCTCAAGTTCTCCCACCCTCCCTTAGGGTTTTCCTCCTAGATTTGTGTTCTTTCTGCAAAATTTGGGTTTCCACATCCCTCCAGTACATGCACGCTGCTCTTTTTCTTCCTGAGTACAGGCATCACGCTCTGGACATGGGAAATAAGAGGAACGATGATGATACTTCTGAACAGTCAAACTTTATGTTTATGTAGAACATTACTTTTAATGGTGCACAACATGCCAGTAAATATTTCCCATTATATCCACGATCTCTGCATTTTCAACTCAACTCGCCAAAGATCTCCTTGTTCCTTAAATGAGTCTGTCCACTCTCTCTTACTGCTCCCTTTGTGAAGAGTTCCCCCCACTCACATATAGGGTACCACTGCCCTCCCTGCGGCTCGCTTCAAATCCAACCTCTTCTGCATGGCCCTTGGCTTCCTCCTTTAATCCTCACTCCCAGCTAAAAGGAGCCCTGGAGCCCTGCACATGCATCTGCCCACAGCCTTCTCTCCCTTTCCACCCCTGTTTTGTTTCCTACCCTTGAAAGCGCCTTGCCAGGAGGCAGAAGGAAACTATCTGTTTTGCCTATATATAGAAGCACCAAGGACACTAGCACAAAGCACTTTGGAAGAGAGGTCACTTTTATTCCCACGACAGTGAAAGCAAGGCACAGGTAAATTCATAACCATGGCTGGATACATACCAGGGGCTTCAAAGTTCAGTCTGAGAATGCGATCAGAAAGCCTCTTACCTGGAAGGAAGCCGCACTGAACAGACAGGTATAGGATTGCACTATTGGTCATTATGCCACAGACACGCTCCCAGAGGTCAAGAACTGCCTAGAAAATGTGCAGATTTGTTAGAAAGTCTCAGACGTCTTTCCTGCAGTGGCCTTTGTGTGCTCGCCATGTCAGCTAGACCATGATCCCCAGGAACAGACGACACAACATTCCGTTCTTTAGGCACATGGTCACTGTGCAGAAATGCACATAGAAACTCACATACAACTGTAGCACTTGGTACAAGATGCTTTGACGAAGAGGCAGGCAATTCTCCCCATCTGTGTCGACAATCATGCAAGCCCACATTTACTTGGAAGTAAGTTCTGCTGTGTTCAGTGAGGCTTACTCCCACATAACTAAGCACAAGACTGCAAATTAACAGACTGGAAAAGAAGAGTGCGTGCTAGTTGGACCCCTTTAATAATTCGCTCAAATTCTCATTTAGGTTGAATGCACCCATTCCTTGGTTTTGCAGAAAAACCTGCCAACTGTCCCTACAACTATTTCAGCACAGGAAATGTGGACTGGCCATGTGAATTGTAAATAATGGTTCAGTTATATGACTTTGCCTTTATTTAGCACTTTTCCTGTTTTCAAAACAATTTACATATTGAAAGTATTAACTTAGAAGAATTAAATTAACTAAGTGCTACAGGGAATAATGGCACTTATTTATAGCTCAAAATTTCTGCAAGCTGGGTTAGATCCACCTTTGCAAAAAATCAAATAGCTTTCAGTTTTTACTTGGAGCAGCAGACAGAATCCAAGTAGATACAAATTTTCTTTAGAATGTAAGAAACCCACCTCCTAAGAACAAAAGGCAAAAAAAAAGGGGGGGGGGGAGAAAATTTGTTTGGTGCTACCTACTCCTAAACAGTATTAAGTCATGGCAGCCCTATCCAACTATCAGGAAAATCCTGGATCCAGCGATGCTCAGAGTGCACCTCTGTGTGTATGAGCACAAGGCCTTCCTCAGCCTTTAAGAGGGGCTTGTTCTGGGTGCGACCACATTATCAGACAACCTGCGTGGAGGACCAGATGACAGACAGCTGCCGCATACAAGCCAGACAACTGGTCCATCAAGCCAAGCCTCATCAACAGCAAGCAGCAGCGGGGCTCCGCAGGGTCTCATGCTGGAGTCTTTCCCAATCCCACCAGGGGTTGCCACAAATTGAACCCGGGGCCTCTGGCACACAAAGCATGTGCCGCCACTGTAGGTGGGAACCCCTGAAGAGCTGTGAACCATAATCAGATGACAGCATGATGTAAATTAGAAGGCAAACTGCAGCTTTAATCTGCTATTTGACAACAGTAAAGTACTATGAAATAAGAGGCTGTCTTTCTCAGCGGCTGAATAGCCCACTGACTGCCTTCCCATGTGTTAGAGATGCTTCCCACAGGTTTGAGGTGCCAGCCGTATTATTAAATCTGACCAGGTTCCATCACAGAAAACAATATTTTATTCATTCACTACTCCACTGACATTAACCCTCTCATGTCAACAAGACTGCTTTTTCAATTAACTGACCTGCCTTTTCCACACACAGATTCCAGGCAGCCAAAAACACAGAGACGCTATTCAGGAGGAGATGCTGATTCAAGGCAGCCAGAGCCTGACATGCCCATCTTCAGTTCAGAAGCAGGAGAGACACTCATTATCAACTCTCCCAATGGAGAAAAAGTACAGCACAGAGGGGCTTAGGCAAGTTCAGCTATAAAACAAAAGCTCTGAGCGCACCACATTGTTAGAGAACAATCATTGCGTTTGTGAACACGTTTTTGTTTGCAACAAGAATTTCCTGTGTCAGCTGAGTTTAGGGAAACAGAGATAATACTCAACTCCTGTTTTAAGCCACAGTATCAACTAGCACAAACTGTTTGCCAACATTTATATCCAAAGTTGATGCGGCCCTTGGTCACGGTTAGTTCTAACCATGGTTTTGTTGCCTTTGCTCTGGTTGAGAAACAATGCATAAAATGAAAGTTTAGAACCAAGCTCTGAATCTGAAGCTTGAGTAATAAAATGCTAATAAGCCCAGCTGCTTACCTTGCAAGCTGAGAGTAAGCGGGGTGAGGCATTTGCCTTACACGCTACACGATTAACACTCTTGCTTAATGCAACCCAAGATTTACAAATCCACTTCAAACCATGGTTTCACATCCTGCAACAAACCTATAACTATGATTCAAGTAATCATATATAGTAAATTCTGTCTATATAGGGGCCTTCTCACACAGTAGCTCCATGCTTCAGCTTCCCAAGTCAGGTATTCAAAGAAACACACTTGTGTAAACTTTGCATGTGAAACCTGCACATTTTTCCTTCTGAGGGGATTGCTTTGGAACTTGACAGATCACTGGATCAGGCTATAACACCTTCAAATGGCCCACTTAGCATGGGCTGCATTTTTACTCCTATAATGCAGAAGCCTCAGCTCTTTTCCAAATGGGAAGAACATTTCAACTTTTCTTATGCAAGTTTAAAAGTATTTTATTTTCCATTTGTATTTAGAAAATTGCTGTTTTCCCCACAATAAGCATTAGGAAAGCTTGCTGGAAACTTTGGAACTCGCCAGCGGGAGAGTTAGAAGTTGCAATTCTCAGACGAGACTACAGCTTTGTAATGACTGTACAGAAGATGGCAAAGATACTCCAGCAGCGCTCTGAAGATACTGTCCCACCTCCTCCCAGTATCCAAAGAAGCCAAGACAATGCTAACAGCCGAAGGAGAGAAACTGCCAAAGCCAAGAGCCATCGGATTAGCGCAATGCCAGCTCCCGAGCAGCACCTCCCAAATCCCGAACAATGAATGCATCAACGCCCTAAAAACACAAATCGCTCAGCCGGCACGAACAGCTGTGCACCAAGAGGTCACTTTCAGAGACTCTGGGGGAGCATTTGCCGCTTTCAAAAATAGATTTTAAGAGCATCCAAGCACATTCTTAGGCTCGCCCGGGCCTAACATCTGGATGAAGGGTGAAAACCCCCGCCGAGGCGAGCGCTGTTCTGGGGTGACCTTCCCCTGCCGCGGGCCTGCCACCCCGCTCCTGGGGCCGCGGGGGCGGAGGGGGACGAGCCCCCGCGCCCGGCCAAGCCGCGCCGCTTTCCCGGCGCCCGGAGCCCGCGGTGCAACTGGACTCTGCCCGACCTTTACCCAAGCACGAGCTTCACACGCCGATGCCTCCAGGCCGGGCTGGCAGCCCCCCGGGCTTGCTCGGCCCCTCTCTCCTGCGCCTCCCCGCCCTCCAAGCGCTCGGCAGCCCCCCCGGAAGAAGCAGCCCGTAGCAGGCCCGATGCCCAGGACCCTCGGGGCGCCCCAGCCCAGGCCCCTCGTTCCCGCGCCCTCCTTCGCCCGCACTTCCCGGACGATGCGGACGCCCCGCCACAACTCGGGTTCAACCCTGGCTGCCCGAACAGAGACC